CGGCTTTCCAAAGAGAACTGTTGAATTGTGGACGAAGAAGACAATCGGCATCAGCCACTGCTTTTTTAGCGGTTTACCTACTTAAGCGCTCTTTGTGCTTAGAAAAGCAGTACTTTTCTTTAAACGGTGCACAGTAAAATGCACAAACGAACCTACCTAAAAAAAAACAGGCGACTGCGAATCCTGAAGTCTGTTTTCCAAATCACAAAATACATGGGTATTTATCACTATTCTGAAGGCATTGCGCCAGTTTGAAACGATAATATGCTGGAGGCCTTAGAGCTCATTGACACCTTAAGTTAAATGGGCAAGACACCACCTCATCCCTAACCGATGTAGGGGAAAGTGGGTGTATTGCGCCCTCCTAACTAATTGCGCCCGCCCACATTCCCACGAATTCAATGGCATGTTCAGTATTTTGTTTTCGAAAACATTATTTTCACCACTGGATAGTTCCTTTTATGGCCCAAGCCCTAAAGGATGTTTCAATTTTCGACGGTACTCCTGCCTCAAGATACCACCAATCCATCGGTTAGCAACTTTCGCACCCGCCTAAGTTTATTCTTTTATCCAGAATTGGAGGATCAAAAGCATGCGATAGCATGCTTTTGCATCCGGAAATTCCCATTGGTGGGTCTGGGCAGGGTCTGGGTGGGTCGCTGAAAAAAGTTCGGCTGAACCAAGGCGGCTGAACCTGTTTGTCAGTGAGTGAGTGAGTATGTGAGTTTGTCCAAGCTTTTTTGGACCTGGAGTCAAAATGGGTGGACCGATCGGGACGAAAGTGGGACCGTTTGATTCGTTTCCGGCGAGGTAAACTTTTGGTGCTGGCCTTGGTTCGCTCGGTGCTTCGTGGCACATGCTATTCCACTTCAAAGTTTCGGTGACACGAAATTTTTTTGTCAAGGCTACAGGTCAACCCGAGGTCACGGGCAAAGCCATACTGGCGGGACACATCGGTAACAGCTTGAACCAGTTTCCAGGGGGGTCACCGTCTGCGAGGGGTGCAGGCTGCACGTGCTGGGGTCGGAAAACCGTTTTGACGTGAGGTCCTCTGGCTCAAAGAAATTTTAAGCTATCAACCTCAAAATCGGTTCAATGGTAGTCCCAGGCAAGGCCTCCAAAATAATGCACATTTGGTTGAGCTAAACTCTGTGGTGCATGAGCTATGCACGTGCAAGCCGATTGCACCCCTTCGTACGTTGCCACGCCTGCAGGGTAAACGGCAGCTCTAACTGGTTCAAAACTTGCAGGTCATAAGAAGAATACATTTGATCACGACATTCCGGCGAGATAATATCCGAGGGGTGCAAGCTGCGCGTGCGGGGGGCGGATAACGGTTTTGACGAGGGATCCTCTGATCCCGGGAAACGTCGATCTAGCGACACAAAAGTCGGTTTTTAATGAAGTCATTGGGCTATGGATCCTCCAATTCTGGCCCAAGGCAACGCACGAGCGCTGCCGGCATCTAGTTTTAGTCTACTGAATCAACACAAAGACATCCCATCTGCCATCCTACAAAGAGCTTTGCCAAAAGTTTCTCGGTTCATGTGACCTGCTTTTTCATAAACTTTTTGTGCTGTGTCCTTTTTAGTTTTTATGGACTGCTTCTGGCTTCTAGCCATCTACAGACAAAGGCCAAGCAGCAATTTTTAGCGAGAGATCTCTCCATGGTTCGGAATGCACTGCTCGCCAGCACCGACTCCACCACTAAAACACTAAACTGAAAGTTTCATTAACGAACAGAACCTTCACGGGTGCGTCGGTCATGCACATCCTGCTATGTTGATCCAGCTTATACCAGATGCTTTAATGAAAACTGAAAGAAAATATTTTATTCCCATGCATCTAAATGTAGCAAACTCTAGCTGTGTACGTTGGGCTGGTTAAAGTGATCCTAAAAAGAAGAAACGGCTCATGCCAAGTGCGATGCAAGATTTGCTGGACCTCAAATTTATGCGTTTTTCTGTTTCCTTCATTATTGCGCTGATGGGTCAAACCATTCATACGTTGTGGACTGAAAGATTTTAGAGGGATTGTGACAAACATTAATTGTTTTAAGCGTAGGCACCCCTATGTGCGCTTGCATTGTTATTGATGTACGAATTCGTGTAGGCATACTATATTAATGCACGTAGGTGCTATCAATATGCATATAGGCATGAAGGCATACCTGTGTAACTTTCCGAAGATCTCTCAATTCATGAGCTCTTCAAACCTGTTGTCGAACTACCGATGAACCCAACACCCCTAATCAATCATCCGGACTATTTCACATAGCTCAAACCTCGGCAATTTACAGAAACGCCACACGATAAAACAACATCGTAAATCAGCGGGGCCGTCCCGAAATGATCCGTGCAAAGGTCGACAGTCGAAAGGGACGGCGACCTTTCACAACTCACTCCAGTTGCCAGCTTGTATCTTCATAATGGAGATTAACAGCCAACTAGAACGGAGCGCATGCCAAGTCAGAGATACACCTCGTATCTAATTCTGAAATATAAAGATTCTAACGCGCCGCCGTCTCTAAAAGCCGTCACGGATACAGGCGAACTTGACCCACATGTGACAGATTTGGCGCCCGGGAGAGGCACGATGGCGGGAGCCGTGGTGGAAGAGTGCCGCCGGGGTGATACCCCTCCGCCGAGGGAAGGTCACAGCCCCGTCCACGACATTCCTCGACGGCTGCCAGACGCAGGCGGCCGCTATTTTGGCCGTGTCGGACAGAAGGACGGCGGCGGAAGGACAGAGCGCGTGCGCCGACACTGGCCCACCGCCAGGCGGAGAGGCTAGACACCTTACTGGCGGTGACACACGCAGTCTGTCCGGCCGGCCGCAGCTCCTGTCTGACCTACGCAACACCGCCGGCCGGCGCGCAGGTCAGCGCGGCACCAGCTGCCGAGCCAGTGAGTGGTCACCGCGAGGGGCTCTAACTCCGGTCCGGCGCATCGGATACGGGGGAGAACGGGATTGGGGAAAAATGAGCGCAAAAATCTTCGACAACGCGGCTGAATCATTCATAAATTCACATACCAATAGTGCAGCAGTAAGCCATAGGTATTCATGTTCACCTTCATCAGAGGCTCATTTTCTTATCATAAAGTGTCAGCCATCAACGTCCAGCGATGAATTATACCGCCCTTACTCAGCCTGTCCCGTGGAATGACAACACTGTCCGCTCCCCAGCCGTTACTGATGGTCCTCTCAGACACCCGGCCAGCCCCCGACTCGCCGAGTATGACTCAACAGCTCGTGACTCACGACACACCGTGGTCTGATTGATCCCCCGCGACTCTGGCCAACGGCGCCCAGTGGCCATCACTCAGCGTCCGCGACTCTCGCCCGAGACGCAGTTCGCCTGTTTACCAACTGGCCGCCACACTGGGAAGGCATGCGTCGTTCGGAGGTGGCACGTGCTACAGTGAGGCCCAGAACGTGCCTTCGTCCAAAAACAGCACGGGAATCCACTCAAAATGGCATCGGTCTAAATAGTGCACCAGTGAGAGCCCCACTTCAGCATCAACGCTTGTCAACATTGGACAGTGCGGCTTGTAATGGAGCTCGGTAAACTGTATGGGAAAACAGATAATAGCTTTAAAAAAAAACACGCACAGCTCTGAGAACCATAGCTTGAAATATATTGAATATTATGGAGAAACATCCATTTGTTCATAATCCTGAATACATCCACGGTGCCCAGAAGCATACGGACGTCGGAGACATTCCAAACGAGCGAGCCGGTCTAGCCGCGCTGCGCTCGGGCTGTCTCCGGCCCGACGCCATTTGCCTGGAAGGCAGGCTACCCGCAATGCTCTGGTGTCCGGCGGGACAGTCTACCAAGACAGGCAGATTCCGCCGGCACCGCTTCTCTGCCATCACTGTCGCTTCCCGGCCTTTTGGATTAGATCAAAGTGGCGTATTTGTCAACAGATGCGCATCGTTACAAATCTGCGCATCACAATACGTTCCGGGCCCCCGCACAATGCAAAATGATTACCAGCGAGATCGAAAGGCGTGCCTCAACATCAACGGATAAATCTAAATGGGCGACCATTACAGACCAATTTCGATTAGTTTTGAGGTCTTTATTTTCGCAGCCCCACATCCTTCGACGGACGGCAGAGGCGGATCCAGCTCAGAGTTTTTTTTTTGGGGGGGGGGGGGCAAACCATAACAATTTATCGATTCTTTCCATGCATCGTCCATAGGCGTAATGTTAAAATTATGCCGTTTGGGGGGGGGGGCAAATGCCCATTTTGCCCCCCCCCCCGGATCCGCCACTGACGGACGGTTCTAAGAAAGGGTAGCTGTTCACTGTATTACATGCTTCTCTATATATAAAGAAGTATGTGTTCGCATGCATCCTTCCTATCTGTGTGCAATCTCTTTCCCGCCGTTTTTGGTTTGCATCCGATGTCAGGTGTTGGCAGTCTGCTGTATTGTCTCTGAATCAGAGCACCGAGCACCGCCCGCCGCGCCGGCCATGAATGGCGCCCGGTACGGTGACCGGCGGGGCGGCGGGCGGGGGCGGGGGCGGGGGCGGGGGCGGGGGCGGGGGCGACTGACGCGCTGTTTGCGTTGGAGGCCCCGAGAAGGTCAGGCGCCACATACCGGTCGGTCAGCCACTCTCTCTCCGACGTCACACCGCCTCTGAAGCCGCCCACTGTTATTCATCGGCCGTACACAGGGGCAGGCAGCGACACACACCGGCCCACACGGCCACGGACAGAGGCGGTATAAATCCCGTCACCACAACAATAACGAATGGTATCAAGAAATCAACACATCAATAAACTCATATGAAACAGGGGCTGCTGAAATCGGCAAGCTACCAACTGAAGACTCTAAGATCGATGTATGGCAAACCATAAAAAAGAAACCACGAATCATAAAATAATAAAGGTGAGAGGGTCTGAAATATTTTTTCTTAATGTAAAGCGTACTGAGACTTCTGAGTTTCAAAAGCGCGACATAGGTTCACTTTTCGAAACACTGAGGCATTGAGTAAAAGCAATTTATTATACAAAACTTAACAATACAAATAAAATATGCAACAAAAAGCCTAATAATCCCAGCCCAAACAGACCCACGGAGAAAGCGCAGAGCGGAGCAGTTAAGAGCGACGAGATAGCAACAGGACGGTGAGCGGGAGACACCATATCACACGGTTCGGGTCGACCGGCCGGGCCCGGGTGGCGACTGAGGGGGGCACCCCTTGCCCTGAGGTGGCGCGCAGTGACCGAGAGGCCGCCCTCTCCGGCGCAGTTCCCCTGCCCTGCACCCATCGGCCGCGGGCAGTGCTGCGCCACCAGAGGCGAAAATAGCCCGCATTCCTCGCCGGTCCCGAACGGAGCCCGGCGACACTGCCCAGAACAACAAACGCCGGCATCGACACGCGTGCCACCAGAGCGACAACCTTGTGCGCCACCACCGGCCGCAATGATACACGGGAGAGGAGAGCGACAACCTTGTGCACATGGACCGATACTGCGCTATGCGCTCAGCGCCGAAAAAACACGCCACCTCGATAATCCGTTCCCCCACGCCCGAAAAGCACAGCACACAGTTTGACCCCGGTTTCACACGCTAACACCGACACACAACCTGGCCAAATGCACCTATTACTCCGGAGTTAGCCGCAATACAAACACTGGAAGAATAACACCATTGACATTTTCCGAGTGTAGGCTAATAGCTACGCCGGATTTCAAAAGCGTCTCATGGCATCCGCGAGAAAAATACGACGGCTCTTAATTAACACGGAAAATTATTGGACACTCGCGTAGTACCTTTTTCCGCGAAACACTTCAGAAGAGTTACGCATCTACCCGACACGGTTGCCGTAACATTTAACACGCGAGACAGGACAGTGCACGATTGTCGAAATTTACCAGCACGCCTGGCGTCAGCTGTCTCTCAGTATAAAACGCGGGTGAGGTGGCAACCAGGAGAGTCCGACTCCTATTACATATATAATCTCTGGGAATGCAGTGCTTATTGTTTACGATATTCAGAGTTCGTAGTAAAACTGAAGCTATGGCGAAGGAGGCAAGAAACACATAGTACATCTAGCTTGACACTTAGCATACCTGCAACATATTCCTAATGGGCGTTCTGCTACAAAATAAAAAGGTTAACTTTAAAACAATTAATATATTACCTCATGATATAACTTACTTTGGTATCAAAACGGCATTGTTTTGTTTAACACACAAAAAATGTAGCCTTTAAAGTAATGTCAACATCATGAGCAAACTCTGATTACTGGCAAAACTTTTCCCACCCTGGTACCATGATAGCAATGGAAATTGCTTTACCGATAGGTAACTGTTACATGACTCGTATAACACCGTTCGTGACAATACAGCAACCCGCTCTGTGTGGTATCGCCATACGACGAAGACTCCCGTCACCTCGTGGAGAAATGCCAAAGCATCACCCTACTATAGTCACGGTACCTTGGAATTCTTGCTGCGAAGCACTTTGATCGGGCGGTCGGTTGTGTTACACCTCTCGACAGGGGACCAGCTGCTGGTCGAGTGTCGCCGGCCGGGTCGGAGGGACGCCGTTGGTGAGCGGTGCCGCCGGGACGGACGGAGACGCGCCGCCGTTACTGACGGGCCCCGGCGGCGGCGGGGAGGGGCCCGAGCCGTCCGGGGAGCCGCTCCCGGAGACCTCCTGTCAACACGGGAACGACTGCTGCCACACTCCGGTACAAATTACAACCTCCAGACGGGAGGCATCTCACAGCTACAGCCTAATCTCGGAACACAATCTTTGAATAGACGTAACAGCTCCCGTCTAAACAACCGCCACACTCAGGCAGAAGTGATGGTGACTTGAATCAGGCCCGTCACGAGTGTCCACATTACATGACCCCCTGCGCTCACCGAGCATCCCGTAGTAGCACGAGTGACGATGACTGGGTGTAATTTGGCGGAGCGGTGGGCGCGGCCTGTGCCCGGTCGCCCTCGGCCATCGTCAGGACACACGGGACGACCGGGGACGGGGGAGGGGGTGTTTACTGCGGGAGAGTATCCTGGCCGCGGGGCCGCCGGAGCCAACACCGACGACTGAGCGCGGCAAGGGTGTTTACAGAGTGAGGGAGCGGCGAGGGCACGGGTAGATAGGTGTAGGTAGTGGAAAATGTTTGGATAGCCCGTGCTGGAATGTAGAAAATGAGGAAAACTAGCACCAAATAACTATTAGGATTAGCTACGCGAAAGACGTGCAGCAGTCCAACCGGCAACCACACTGCCTAAAATATCCGGAGAGCTGATATTAACCTCCACCACTCATTATCACTGAAGTTGCACTAAAATGAGGCGAAAAGCCCTCCCCACCTCTCACCTGAGGGCCGTCGGGCGCTGCTGAGGGCTCCGGTAGCCGTCTGGTGGCCACTCCGGGCCGTCGGACAGGGGTGGAGCGGGCCAGCGGCACCGGCGGGGGGCCGGCCGGGGCGGGCCGGGTCACCGGAGTCACCAGGGCCTCCTCGTCCGACATACTGTACCTGACGGCCCAGTGGCAGGGTATCAGTACCGATCAGCGCCCGCTAATGTATGGTAGCGCCGGTTGGCCGGGAAAAATGGTGTCATATGGTACATGTGTGACCCAGTGGCCGCACAGCTGTATTTACGGAGAGCTGACCCGATTAAAATACCAGCGAATGGTCATCGGTTTCAAGCAGGTGTCATCATGGTGCATGAAGTGAATGGCTGGGGTCGCTGTGGGGTCAGACACCGTGAGCAAATGACCCGTCTGAGAAACCAGATGATCTGCGACAACAGTGACCAATGACCAGTCAGAGGCAGCAGACAGTCGGTCTGAGACGGCAAACGGTCTGAGACAGCATGGAACCCCTCTGAGACAGCAGACAGTCGGTCTGAGGCAGCAGAAGGTCGGTCTGAGACAGCCGAGTGTCCGTCTGAGACAGCCGAGGGTCGGTCTGAGACAGCCGAGCGCCGTCGGCGGTGGACGGTCGCCGTTAGTCCCCGCCGCGCTCAGCGCTGTGCAGCTGACACCACGGCCAAATCACGTGGAGTTATGGCCGCCGCCGGGATGCGACACAGCGGAAAAATGGCCGCTCTGCTTTTACAGCTGATGCCACCGAGATGTGTACACCAACAACATTACTCACCGGCGTCCGAAACACCACAGAGTGTGACGAAATCAAAACAGGTGACACACACTGCAACTGCCTCTCTACCTTGGGCACCTTTCAGGGCAAGACCTAGGTACGAAAAAAGTTTCTCTACGCTTATCACTTGAAGTATATTCATTATCCCTTCAAATGCATCAGTCAGGAACTAAGCAACTGGCAATGACTGTACGTTCAGGATGAGCATTTTCATTAAAATTATGTGACATTTCTAGATATACTACCAAAATAGGCAAGAAAACATTTTAAATTGCACAAACTTATCGGCGAGTATATAGTCCTTTGATATTGCTGTCCTGCCATCGTCGGTATTTTCATTTGTAACACTTAATATATTTAATGGAATAACCTTCTGTTCAAAATTCTAAAAATTGCCAAAAGTTACCAAAAACACTTGAATATATTTCGGAGGCGTTCCTTCATCGGTTCAAGTGATAAACATTTATAGCGCCACATTTGCCGTTAACATATCTGATCCATGTTTTTAAATATAAATCTCGCACAGCCATGGAAGGTCAAGAAATCAGTCATCTATGCTCAAATACGACGTGCTCTTAAACTCTCAAGCAGCGAAGACGCACGGCAGCGTAGCATCGCACGGATCACACACCTTTTCACCGACAATGGATACAAGCTCAAGACAATCAACAGAGCCATTGAAGACTGTATGAAATCCACAGACCAAAGAAAAAGGAACAGAACATCAATCACCCGACTAGTTCTCCCCTTCATCGACGACCAGCTGACAAGATCCGTACAGGCGGTGGTGAGGGGCAGCGGCCAGCAGGATCTGGGAGTGGCCTGGACGAACGATAACACCATCAAACAACATCTGGTACGGTCAGCCCTTAAACCCCCACCCTGCCCGGGAGGAGCTCGCTGTCATGCGTGCGCGGCGGGTCTTCGAGGACGATGTCACACATCCGGAGTCATCTACCAACTGACGTGTACCCTCTGTCAGAAGACATACATCGGGGAAACCGGCAGAATGGTGCGACTCCGGTACAATGAACATTTACGAGACGCCAAAAACCAACGCAGAGATTCACCTCTCGGGGACCATTTCCGGGAAGAACACCGTGGCATACAACCGAGCCCATCACACGTGACAGCTGCACTAATGCAAGTGTGCAAGACTGAGCGCGAGAGAAAGATTGCTGAATCTCTTCATATTAGAGACGAGCGACCAGCACTCAACACAAACGTGGCATCATGGACGATCGTGTAAACCGTCACGTAGTGGTGTCCGTTACGGGTCCCCGGTAGGAGCTAGAATACCACACGGGTATTGATCATAGGCTCTGGTATGAGACGTGTTTCGATTTGTTGAACGACCCCCCCCCCCCCTCCCACACACACACACTTCATGTGAAGCGATTATTATTGTGTGTATTTCTCTCTCTCTTATTCGACTGCTCACCTATAATATGCTTATGCCCCTCTCTTTCATACTTCATTCATTCGTGCATTCATTCAAGTCATTCATTCGTTTGCATGCTTAATTATCCTGTCAGGCAGCGGTGTTTACTTTTGGTAGGCATAGTACTAATGTGATCTGCCTAGAATTCCCCCCCCTTCATCCCTGCCCGCTTTCTCTCTCCCTATATTGTAACCTATTAACATTGTAAGTGTGAATAGTATCAACTTTATGACCTATTAACCTGTTAAGTGTAGGAGCTAATTTTGTTCGTACGCTGTAAAGGTAATTCTGTCGATGTAAATTAGAAGACACATCTCAACCTAGACGCGAGATTTATATTTAAAAACATGGATCAGATATGTTAACGGCAAATGTGGCGCTATAAATGTTTATCACTTGAACCGATGAAGGAACGCCTCCGAAATATATTCAAGTGTTTTTGGTAACTTTTGGCAATTTTTAGAATTTTGAACAGAAGGTTATTCCATTAAATATATTACATATAATGCTGTTCACCAGAGTGCTTCGTCATTTGATTGTAACACTTAAATTCATCTCGGTGGAGCATTCTACGGTCGTGTAAATATATTGTAGCTCTGGGAAGACGCCTCGGCCGGTGCCAGTCGGACCGACTGCCGACACTCCCAGTCCCATCAACGGCCGCCCAGCCTGTCAATCTCTGTCAGTCTCCGAGGTCCTCTAGGTCCCCCTCCCCGCGGTCCCCAGCGTCCCCCCCCCCCCTCTGTCACTCCTCGACGTCCTTCGAGCCCCCTCCCCCGGCCACAAATACCCGCCCCCTGGCAGCTCGGCGGCAGCGGCGCAGTTACGGACACACCGCGTGACGCCCCCTCCCTCCCCCGGGGAACGGTGACGCGGCGTCAGTCCCGGAATGTGCGTGTCTGCCTCTGGCGTATCGCCTATAACGCGTGTCGCTGTTCCCTGGCAGGTGGTAATGTGAGGCGCGGGCCTAACGTCTGACTCACAGCGGCGCCGACTCACGCACACTGACAGCTCCATAGCCAGCCCGTGTTGTCAGAGGCAGCAAGCCGCTGCCACTACAAAATGTTTGGAGGTCTTTGATAGTTTACATGTGGAGCAAATGTTGATGGTTTCTGCTGGTGTGCCTTCAGGCGATTTCTAGAAAGCAACTTTATTGGAAGAGAAGACAACCTGTTTATGTAAGCAGGATCGACTTGAAGGAGAAAGAGATTATGTAAGGGCTCAGTTAGAAGTACCCAGCTTCGAAAGCGGACAGAATGCTGGCAGCTGTCGCGGGGGCTTTACACCAAAGACAACAAGATCTACTCATCACGACAGCGGGATCTCGTTTTATCTCGATAACCTACAAAATTTATAGGATTCAGAATGTCCTGAGAGCGTAATTCCACTACCGTACAAGCGCCAACAATTTAGTTGCAATGGGATGGCAACAATAGAAAGAAGAGTTCATCTCCTGCCGTGACAGTTTTTTTTTAGCACACATATGCATTCTTATAGATTCGTCGCCTCTTTCATATGATGTGCTATCGACCCACATCCAAATACCAGCACATGTAACAAGCTTATAAAAATCCCGTTTGACAAAGTCACCCATTAGCGACGGCCCGGAGCAGCTGCACTGGCCTAGTCCCTTCGAGGCTTCGCCAGACGTCGGTATGATTTCAGGTATGGTATCCCAGTCGCCTTGGATGCCTCCACGTTCATTGTTCTGTGACCTTGGCGTCAGCACAGGGCAGGTGGCGGACGTCACACCCCACCACCGTATCTGGACTGACACGGAGCCCCCCAACTGCGCAGGACGAGTCCCGACGCGCCCTCTGAGGCGCCCGCTCCAACTCTTTGTGAGGTGCCAACGGCAATGTTTAGTGAAGCTGCTCAAAGCAGATTAAGCTTTTAGTGTGTTTTGGAACAGAGGTCACCCGACAGAGGCGAAAGAATGCGCTTGTGTGTGTTATTTTCCGGTGTGTACGGTTGTGTATCTTCGAGCTGTCATAACATGCCAGAATACCACTGGCACACGCCCTGTGTGCCCGCGAGCGGGTGAAAATATCATCTTTCGGCGGGTTGAGTGATTCAACAGTGAGCTGACATTTCGCAGGCTGCAAATCACGGTATTCGTTGGCAGATGTGCCAAACCCAGAACATCTACCATGTCATCATTTTTACACAGCGCTGAAGCGAATGGAAAATCGAACTGAAGATGATAAATCGTTGCAATTGGATAAAATCATTCAGATAAAATGATCTCTGCTGAAACCAGTAAAGCTAGTAAAAACGACAATTGAATATCAATGAAATGCAATCCTTCAATAACATCTGACCATATCATCCCGTTCGGTACCATTGACAGAGCGCCTCCTAAAACTCCCACCGGCACTCGACTCTTCATAAACGAACCAAGCTCCGCTTCGCCAGCAACTGTCTGTTCCGGCCATGCCACCGATACCCTTCCCTGCCGTTAACCTCTGGTGGCTTAGTAGCATAAAAGGCCCTCCTGCTCAGCTCCCGATGGCCGGCCGCTCACCTGAAGCGCTCCACGTCGTTCTGACTTCCCCGACCTCACCTGAAGCGCTCCATGTCGTAGATGCCCTCACTGACGTCCTCGGGCAGCGTGGGCAGGTACAGCAGCTCCAGGCGGATGTCGCCCGTCACAGAGGACAGCACCTCCACCGCCTCGTCGTGACGAACCTGGGGGCAGTGAGGGGGGGGGGAATTTAAGCACCTCCCCCTCCTCGTCGTGACGAACCTGCGGGCGGAGGGATATAGCTTCAGAACCGCTTTCTAGAGAAAGACTGGCAGAGAGTAAATTAGGCAATATTCACCAATTGTTTATTAGTAATCGCTACCCATAAGCAGCTACCAAAGTAGAGTAGGTACCACAAAGTAAGAGCTTTCTTAGACTATTGAATTCCATAAGACACCGACTTCACGTGGAGTATTCCACTCATGTCGAAAATGGTTTCCCGAATCCAAGAATCCCGAATCACGTGAACCCTTCCCCGTCCCTCCAAACCAGACCGGTCACCGCCGCCTTTCCTCACCTGCTGCAGACTGATGCCGTTGACGGAGAGGATCGTGTCGCCCACATGCACCTGGCCAGAGCGAGCCGCCGGACCGGACGGCTTCAGGGCAGAGACGACGATCGGCACGCCGTGGTCGTCGCCGCCCTAACGGTGAGAGAGGGGGCGGTGGGGTCAGTGGGGGTTAGCGTGGGTCAGTGGGAGCGGTGGGGTTCGGCTAAGGCCACTGGATGTGGCACGAGGGAATACGACGGGGTCACATTTATGAAATTAACGGACGGCACGGCAGGGCTTATTTCACATTTCAACCGTAAACTAGCGACAAAGCACGCAGTCCGTCAATATTCATCCGACCAAGTCCCTTTGCCACCCGACGGGCAGGCGGCCTGACCTCAGCGCCCCCACGGTGCGCGGCTGACTGCGCCACCTGGACTAAAACTCCACCCGTGACACCCTCCCCGCTCCGTGACTCCCCCTTCCGAACTCCCAAACTACCCTCTCACCGTGATGGACATGCCGAGTCCCTCCTTGTCGGCTTTTGTGACGGTGACCAGCCGAGAGCCGGACACGGCTGGCTCTGGGGGAGGGTCCCGCCACGACCTGGTGGCAGTAGGGTGAGCGGGTTATATAGTACGGGACGACATGAGGTAGCGTGGAACGGAAGGAGACCGAAGACGGCAAGGGACGCGACGGTTAAAAGTGCAGGACGCGCCAATATATGGGGCAGTGACACGAATGCGGTACAGTAGCATTCCCAGCTCACCAATCACAGACGACATCGCTAAGCTCGGGTGATTATTCCACGACTGAAATCGATTATACATTACACTCTGACTGTTGCCGCCTCATCACGTTATTCCAATACGGTATTGTACATATTTGTAAATAGTCTGTCACTAGGGTGACCCGCGTGCTCCGCAACGCGAAAAGGGGGTATTTACGATCGGCGGGTGTTTGGTTGTTCTTGTGTCGGTTGGGTTATCTATCCATTTCGGTCGATTGCTTTTTGATGGCTAAACGTTTTGGTTTGGAAAAAAAATATCCATCGGATCGAGGTGCCCGTGTCTGATAAGCATGCTTTCTACTTCAGAACCTGTCAATAGTTCAGTGAACCTGTCAAATGTGTTTTATAATTCAGGTGCGTAGTTTTGTGACAAATGAAAGGCGTAGATAATTTTCGCTAAAAATGGTTTTGCAGAGGTTTAAAACATTTATATTTTTAAGAGTACTGTTGCTTGTCATGCAAACGTGATGATTGGATCTTGGAGAGAATTGAATGTTCTTTCTAATGATAGCATTTTCAATTGCCAAACTTATCAGGTTAAGCAGCAAATCCCGTGTAATTATTTAGTGGCACATTATGGACAAATACCATTTTCTCCAGCGATTTGTTCCACCTTGTTTTTGATCAATTAGCTTTTCACAATTTTTCCATGAGAGGCGGTACATTTCCCTTGCCAATAGGCATTGTTTTAACTCTCTCAGTCTGACGGTCACGTGAAAATAAAATAAAATCCAAAATCCGTCCGAAACGTCAATTTTTCAAACAAAAGCGCCCTCACGGGTGCACGTGGCGCGTGCCATCATCCGCAACGCACATCATTCGATAGCCCGTTCGATTCTCTACACGATGCTTTTTTCCCCGTACCGATCGGGCGCACGGTTACCGAGATATTGCACGAGTACCGGACCCGTGTCGGGCGAATTTTGCCATTTTCGCCCGATTTTGCAAGCCGATTTATACATGTAAAGTCTATGACGCGAATTTGCACTTTTCGGGCACGCGCGACGCGCTCGCTATCGATCCGATCGAGCTGAGACCCCCCAAAGGCACGTTGTCCATCCTTGTTCTATAAGTTGCGCAAATTTCAGCGCGGTGGGTGCAACGATGTGACCTGTAACCCGCGCTACGTAGCACCATGTCGCGACCTCGGTTACAGACAGAAACTACGTCACCTCAAATAGTAATATAGACAAGCGGCTGCGCCACTTGCTTTGCTGCGTGGTAGGAAAAATTGCGGCACCAGCCAATTTGCTTTCGAATGGTGTTTGATTCATGTCGATGTGTCGTCTAGAAGCATAGATATGGACGGAAATGTGAAGAGAATTTAAAAAATACTGCTCTGAGGACTTCGTTGGATGAAAGTTGGGTGATACAGGGTCAAGACGGGTCATAGGGGTCAGCCCTGGTCACTCTGGGTCAGGCCAGGTCACATAGGTCACCTCTCGTCCGCTGGGATCAGCCCGGGCCACTGTTTTGCTTTTGTCTCCACCACTACCCCTACCCCTACCACTAACCCTACCCTACCACTACCCCTGCCACTACCCCTACCCCTACCACTACCCCTACCCCTACCCCTACCACTACCCCTACCACTACCACTACCACTACCCATACCACTACCACTACATCTACCCCTACCCCTACCACTACTACTACCCATACTCCTACCCCTACCACTACCCCTACCACTACCCCTACCACTACCCCTACTACTACCCCTACCACTACCCCTACCACTACCCCTACTCCTACCACTACCCCTACCCCTACCACTACCCCTACCCCTACCCCTACCCCTACCCCTACCAAAACCGCCGGGTCATGTCAGGTCACAGAATAATTGGATCCAATCAGTACTAAAATATGAGACTTTAAGTGTTCCCAGCCCTGCCCCTATTCGTGCCATTCCATTACGCTTAATCGTATTTGCCGGAAATGGCGCATTGTGACAAATGTGGCGCATTGCGGCAAATGCGGCGCATTTTAACCCGTCGATTGAGCATGTATCTTTGTACCAAAATGTACCCTTACCGGACCATATTTGACAAAACTGTGCGATTTGCGGCAAAAATGGCGCCTTGTGAACAATGTGACGCATTGCGGCAAACGCGGTTCATTTGTACAATCTTATCACAAACTGCACCCATTTAGCGACAATCAACACATTTTTTCGCCACCATTTATCAAAATCAATAATTTCACCATCCTTCAATGCGAGGCACCCGCCACCGATCGGCATGCATTTAGTCCACAAAGTTCTTCGACCCCGGCTCTCAATGAAGATCTACGAACCGATCAAAATTTCAGTGGCGTTCTTCCGGCGCGCCCCACGCGCGAACCGTGCACCCCAGCGAGTCGGAACCTAGAAAAGGCGCTGACCCGCTCTGTCACCTAGAAGGTGTGCAAATTTCAACCCCCTACGATATACCGTCTGCCCTGTAGGCCGGCTAAATTGAACCCACTACACGGCGTGGCGGACAAACAGACAGATGGATCCTGTTTAAATAGTAATATAGACAAGCGGCTGCGCCACTTGCTTTGCTGCGTGGTAGGAAAAATTGCGGCACCAGCCAATTTGCCTTCGAATGGTGTTTGATTCATGTCGATGTGTCGTCTAGAAGCATAGATATGGACGGAAATGTGAAGAGAATTTAAAAAAGAACTGTTCTGAGGGCGTTGTTGGATGAAATTTGGGTGATACGGGGTCAATACTGGTCAAAGGGGTCAGCCCCGGTCACTTTGGGTCAGGCCAGGTCACATAGGTCACCTCTCGTCCGCTGGGATCAGCCCGGGCCACTGTTCTGCTTTTGTCTCCACCACTACCCCTTCCCCTACCACTACCCCTACCCCTACCCTACCACTACCCCTACCCCTACCCCTACCCCTACCACTACCCCTACCACTACCCCTACCACTACCCCTACCCCTACCCCTACCCCTACCCCTACCCCTACCACTACATCTACCCCTGCCACTACTACTACCCATACTCCTACCCCTACCACTACCCCTACCCCTACTACTACTCCTACCACTACCCCTACCCCTACTAACACCGCTGGGTCATGTCAGGTCACAGAATAATTCGTGCCATTCCATTGCCCTTACTCGATTTTGTCGGAAATGGCGCTTTGTGGCAAATGTGGCGCATTGCGGCAAATGCGGCGCATCTGTACCTGTTGTTTGAGCATGCACCCTTGCACCAAATTGTACCCTTATCGGGCCATATTTGACAAAACTGTGCGAGCTGCGGCAAAAATGGCGCCCTGTGACCAATGTGACGCATTGCGGCAAACGCGGTTCATTTGTACAATCTTATCACAAACTGTACCCATTTAGCAACAATCAACACATTTTTTCGCCACCATTTATCAAAATCAATAATTTCACCATCCTTCAATGCGAGGCACCCGCCACCGATCGGCATGCATTTAGTCCACAAAGTTTGTCGACCCCGGCTCTCAATGAAGATCTACGAACCGATCAAAATTTCATTGGCGTACTTCCAGCGCGCCCCACGCGCGAACCGTGCACCCCAGCGAGCCGAAACCTAGAAAAGGCGCTGACCCGCTCTGTCACCTAGAAGGTGTGCAACTTTCAACCCCCTACGATATACCGTCTGCCCTGTAGGCCGGCTAAATTGAACCCACTACACGGCGTGGCGGACAGACAGACTTACAGACAGATGGATCCTGTTTAAATAGTAAGATAGACAAGCGGCTGCGCCACTTGCTTTGCTGCGTGGTAGGAAAAAATTGCGGCACCAGCCAATTTGCTTTCGAATGGTGTTTGATTCATGTCGATGTGTCGTCTAGAAGCATAGATATGGACGGAAATGTGAAGAGAATTAAAAAAACTGTTCTGAGGGCGTTGTTGGATGAAATTTGGGTGATACGGGGTCAAGACGGGTCAAAGGGGTCAGCCCCGGTCGCTTTGGGTCAGGCCAGGTCACATAGGTCACCTCTCGTCCGCTGGGATCAGCCCGGGCCACTGTTCTACTTTTGCCTCCACCACTACCCCTACCCCTACCACTACCACTACCCCTACCACTACCCCTACCCCTACCCCTACCCCTACCACTACCCCTACCACTACCACTGCTCCTACCCCTACCCCTACCCCTACCACTACATCTACCCCTACCCCTACCACTACTACTACCCATACTCCTACCCCTACCACTACCCCTACCACTACCCCTACCCCTACCACTACCCCTACTACTACCCCTACTACTACCCCTACCCCTACTACTACTCCTACCACTACCCCAACCCCTACCCCTACTACTACCCCTACTACTACCCCTACCCCTACTACCACTACCCCTACCCCTACCACTACACTACCCCTACCACTACCACTACCCCTACCCCTACCAACACCGCTGGGTCATGTCAGGTCACAGAATAATTGGATCCAATCAGTACTAAAATATCAGACTTAAAGTGTTCCCAGCTCTGCCCCTATTCGTGCCATTCCATTACCCTTACTCGATTTTGTCGGAAATGGCGCTTTGTGGCAAATGTGGCGCATTGCGGCAAGTGCGGTGCATCTGTACCTGTTGTTTGAGCATGCATCTTGGCACCAAATTGCACCCATATCGGACTATATTTGACAAAACTGTGCGATTTGCGACGAAGATGGAGCCTTGGGACAAATGTGACGCATTGCGGCAAACGTGGTGCATTTGTATACTCGTATCACAAACTGTTTCCATTGAACGAAAATCAACACATTCTCTCGCCACTTTTTATTCAAATTAAAACTTGCCCATCCGCCAATGCGAGGCACCCGCCACCGATCGGCATGCATTTAGCTCACAAAGTTTGTCGACCCCGGCTCTCAATGAAGATATACGAACCGATCAAAATTTCATTGACGTTCTTCCAGCGCGCCCCACGCGCGAACCGTGCACCCCAGCGAGCCGAAACCTAGAAAAGGCGCTGACCCGCTCTGTCACCTATAAGGTGTGCAAATTTCAACCCCCTACGATATACCGTCTGCCCTGTAGGCCGGCTAAATTGAACCCACTACACGTCGTGGCGGACAGACAGACAAACAGATGGATCCTGTTCAAATAGTAGTATAGATGTGGCGGCGCCGTTAGTTATATTCGCGTGCGATGCCCGCGAGATTTAATTTAAATTTCCAGGTCATCGAAAAAGGCTAAAATTGGCTTTTCGATTGCCGCATTACGATGCGTAGTTTTGTGTATACTAATTGATTTAGCACTGAGCCGTAAGATGCATAAAGCTTTAACGACAAGACATAGAGATGAACTAAGATTTCCTACATGCCGGGGTATGTCTTAAGCACAGCACGAGCCGGGCAGTAAAACTATGACCAAGAAACTGTCGGTGTCAAAATGCCATGTTATTTGATAGGCCGGGCAGGAAACAAAAGTTTACTGCCCGAGTTTACTGCCCAGGGCAATGACCTCTAAACTATTGATTATCGCATTAGCCCAGAGGTATAATTGACAGGGAATGTATATTTGACATCATTATTGCATGATATTTGCCGCGTACAATTAGAAAACTAACATTTTTTGGTAAAAAATATCTGCTCTGCTTATCAAGGGTTTTGAAATATTTATATTGGTTACAAAGCCGAAATGATGGTAAGTTGTGCGCCTAGGTAATCGAAATCCGTTATCGCTTGTTGTCTTATCTTCGTTTGATATGTCCACTGATAACTTGGGCCTAAGTTATTGCGTTATTATTTGACAGTTGTAGTCCATTCCTCGAAACAAACATGTAAAATATGGAAAATATAATGTATTTCACGAAAGTTTAGCCATTATAGGGCATCAGCAAAGTACGATTACATAAATAAAGAAAACATTCTTGCAAGAACACTGGAAAATTCACGTTAATCACTAGGAATATTATGCCTTCTTCTTGTTCTTATGTCGTGGCAAAATATTCATGTATTATGTTCCTTGGATATCCAGTTGTTGTGCCATTCTGAGTTGATATTTTCAGACACGATTCTTTTTGAAGTAAGGTGTTTTGATGCATTTTCTTCTATCAATTTCCTTTAAAGCTTTATCCACAGCAGTAGCGCAATCACTGTTAGGAATTTATGGACAAAACAATTGTATAAAAGTGTCACCAAAACCTGTCGAAACTACTTAGCGGGTATATGCGGCATGTAGGAAAAATCTTACTGACCTCAGCCGTACGAAATTATTTGGAAACTCGGCTTGCAAAATTTGACTCCGGCCCTCGTGCTCCGCACTCGGGCCTCCGTCAATTTTGCAAACCTCGTTTCCAAATAATTTCGTCGGCCCGGTCAGTAATATATATGAATAAATCATTAGCTGAAGTTTCGCATTTCACCAAAAGCATCTCACCCAACGAATCGAAAATAATGTCCGTTACAGCGAACAGCGGCTCGGCGGCTACAGTGACTAACTGTGAATACAGCCACCCCCATCTGCCCTCCCTCTCCCCTGTACCCCTCTGCTCACTGGCGCACCTCGCCCACCCGCCCTGTCCCTGTGCGCGGTCCGTATGTACGCACCTGCTGCGGCACGCCCTGATGAGCGTCTTGTGTCGGTGCAGCTGAATCTCGGCCTCCAGCTGCGCCCACAGCCGGTCGTGCTCGGGGCCGTGCAGACCCCGGCCCAGCAGCTGGATCTGCTGGATCCTAACGGGGCACAACGGAGATCAGCACGGGTCCAAAGGGGCAGCTTAGTCCGATGGATCCATTGAATCCTTAAGGGAAACAACGGCAAATACATGGTTAACACGAATCAAACGCGACAGCTAGGTCTGCTGGGCTATTGGTGCCCTCCCCAGTGTCGTAATGTGCTATATCCTTGCTACATCCATTATGCTCAGTCATAGGCCTCTGCATAACAGTAAACAGAGGTCTTTGACTCGGTTCGATATAGGCTGCTTTAAAGCAATCCCCGTTGATATCTCCCTATCGCCCACCTTCCGGCCAGCTCCTTGTCCATGTACTTGGCGGCCAGCCGGCAGCCGACCACTTCGCTCTGCAGGCTGACGATGTAGGCGTTCAGCTGGTCCACCTCGGAGCGCAGTCGCTGCAGCTCAGACACCATCTTTTCCTCCCGGAGCAGGTCACGGCGCCGCAGGTACAGGTCAGAGTCCTGGGGAGCACGCGGTCAGTACAGGTCAGAGTCCTGGGGAGCACGCGATCAATACAGGTCAGAGTCCTGGGGAGCACACGGCACAGTTCAGAGTCCTGGAGAGCACAGAGTACAGGTCTGAGATCTGGGAACAAGTGGTCATCAGACAGTGAAGGTCAGTGTCCTTGACTATGGAAGAAAATAACATACTGCAGGGTGCAGGCGAACGTCGCAACCTGCCATGAACATTAAACATGCAGGCCTGGATTCTAGCGATCAAATACTAAACCGGTTCAATTTCTGATAAGTAGAAACCCCGATCAGTACGAAACGATTTCTACAGAACTCGCAACTCGCTATAGCCTCACGGGGTACTGAAACAGACAGAGGGGGCGGGCTGGTCTCACCAGTTTCTTCATGATGGTGTCGGAGTCGGCGGCGGCGGCAGCTGTGTGTTTGTGCAGCTGCAGCTGGGCAGCGTGTAGCTGCAGCAGCTGGTCACGCATCTCCTTTTCCGCCACCCGACGCGCCGCCTCCGCCTGCTGCAGCTCGTCCCGCGCCTGCACCAGCGCCGCCTGTCGGCCAAACACACAACTGTTAGTGCGCGCCGCGCTCAGCAGAGAGCAGGGCTGCAGCTCTACGGTTCAAAGCTCAGGCCTCGTCCTGCCAACCTCTTTATGTCTCGCCTCCCCGGCTTCAAAGGACACCGAACACCGGGAGTTGTCATCACCTCTGGGGCGGCGGGGGATCGCGCCGCGGGCGGGGGCGGGGGCGGGGGCGGGGGCGGCCGACAGACGCCTGCCAGACGACTGCCGCCGCCGCTCAGAGCCTGATGACAGACGCAGAGCGGCCGCCTCTGATAAAAACGGGCGGCGGCGAGCACCGACCCGGCCGGAGACAGCGCTTCCGGTAGGGGTGTGTTCGTGCGGAGCGACACCAGCCCGGCAACTGGGCGGGACATGGGACAGAAAACCGTCTTCCACACGTGGAGGTTTGTATTGTAGGACCTTGCATCACCATCAGGTCCTGATAATATGATTGGTGTTGCTGTTCTTTTTTTTTTTTGAAAATATAACGTACTCACATTTCTTTAACTTCGTTTTTAGATTAGCGCAGTAATCCGAGAATATCTTCCAAGTAGCTCGGTAATCTAAGTCCTAAGATCATCTTTCAGCTCATTTTGATTAAATCCGGGGCGCAGGCGAAAAATAAAATGGAAACTAATTTGTCTTAAAAAGTGGCTACTGAAAACAACGAAACTATTCACTCCTCTGAGCTTTAGCATCAGGTCAACATCTTCTGCTCCATGTTTCAGGCATGTGGAAAAACAACTGAAGAAGTTTGATAAGGCGTTAAACGCCACCACATCACCACCTACCATCCTCTCCCATTGGGCAATGAACAGCCTGGAGCAGCACATCCCAGCAGATGAAACAGACACCTTCCTGTCCTCCGCATCGTTCATCACTCTGTGCCGTTACGCAATCAGCGGAATCACATCACCGCCCTGAGATCAGCAGTTCACACCTCATCCCCTGGGTACGTCATCGCCCGAGACATCATCACCCAGCCGATGCCGCCCGCCAGAGCGCGTGGCCGGCGCCTGGCGTCATCCACCGCCGCCGGAGTGCCTACCACACACCCCGCGCGGCGAGTGTAAACAGTGGTCCGTGTGACGGCGGCGGGGAAGGCGGCGCGGCGACACCAACGACGGCAGTCGCCCGCCGAGACAGACCGGGCGAATGGTGCCGAAACGAGCGCGGAATGGCAGAAACGTGAGCCGTCAGTTGGTCCCGAGGATTGTGAGTTCGACCCGAGCGTCGTGAGTCGGGACGGAGCAGCGCGACCTGTGAGTGAGCGGTACACAAGTGAGCCGGAGCCCACACGTGCGCGTGTGCCTGTGAAAGTGATCGACTCAGACCGGCGCGTCGGGCCGCCTGTCTCCTGAGGGGCGAGCGAGCTGCGGTGACGCTATGACTGTCGGAGGACGGGGCCGTGGAGCGGTCGGCGGGATCCTGCTGACCGTTATCCTCCTAAAGACGCTGCTGACCGGCTCTGTTGGCGCCAGTCCGGTGGACGTGGAGCCAGCGGCACTCAGCAGCGATCAGGTAAGGGCGCGAGGGCTCGCTACAGGGGCGACCAGGCCGAGAACCGGGCCAGTGACTCGAGCGGGTCGCCCTCGAACATCCAACGAGAGTTTGGTCTCTTCACCAGCCCCCGCGTTTCAGATCGCTATCAAAACTACTGAACTTTGATGGGTTTCATGTAAAATGTGATCAGACGAACAGGACAACAAGTGTGGTATGCTATTATAAAAACTACAACACTCAGAAGCCATCAAACAAATTATCAGTCTAAAAATCGTGGATCGGGATGAGACAAGACATCAAGCGGCAATTTAATCAGGACAGGAAGCAGGAAAATTTGAGACACAAAACGTAAACCTTGTTGAATCAAATTGGATCACATGAATACAGAACAATCATTAGCCAAACCAACTAATCTAACAAGCGTCGAACGGGGAATTATTCGAACTCCACTCAAGCATCAAATTGCTGAACAGTTCAACGTGGTTTATCAGTGTTATCTGCGCAGATCCCGCGTCTCATCCCAGAGGGTGGCCTGCGCCAGATCACCGGATGTGACCGCGGCCGTTCTCGGCCGGTTCCCAGCAGTCTCCGCGGCGTCAGTCGCCAGTCGCCACCGCGGCTGTTCCCGATAAACAAACACAGCTCGACACCGGGGGAGAGGAGAGGCGAGGGTCGCCGAACCGACCGCACGTCACCGGCGCCGCGCCGGACGGAACACAGGCGCGTCCCGAGCGATCTATCTGGGGTAGAGAGAGACACCGGACCAATCACTGGTCCAGCGGCAGCCGCGGGACCACGGACCAATCCCAGGTCCAGCGGTAGTAAGACTCCGGACCAATCCCTGGTCCAGCGGCAGCCGTGGGACCACGGAACACGCCAGTCTGCATCACAGACAGTTGAATCGAATGTAACCAATAAAACTACAAACAAAGTAAGAAGACTGAGGCGAAAGAGAGCTGGAGGTATGCAAGGCATCCCTGCAAGGCATGGCAAATAACGGTGTAACTTCTCTTTCATTACGGAAACTACCTAGGCTTAGCTGTCTACAGAAACGGATTGGAGACAGACGCATTTTAGATAAACACGGTCTGAAGTCCCATACGCCTTGGTTTAGTCGAACAGAGCGACCGGAAAAAAACGACAACAGAAAGGACAGGTATAAAGGGTGCGTTTCAAAATACGCACTTAGGTATAGTCGTGACCTAGTTTACCTCATGAGGAACGCTATTTGCCTTTGGTATGCGTCAGTTAATTGATCGAGTGAAATAGATCTAAGTTGTGCAGCTGACCCCTTCGCTAGAGCTTCGCCATGTCTCCTTTTCTTTCGTAAGTTGATTTTGTTGTGTTCTATTTTATCAGTTACTTCGCCTGTTCAAATACCAACATTTTTATGGAAGAATGAAGTTTCCCATTGATGTAATATGAATCGTAGGACATATGCATGTCGAGTAGCTAATACCTATGCACTTATCCATGGCATTCATGCAGATTGCACAGTGTTGGAATTCCCTCATCAGGCGGAGAATAAAATGAAATCGGGGAGTAGCTTTTTGCCCATCAGAGTTCATAGACTTTCATAGAAAATGTGTTTAAACAAACTGCAGAAGAAGAAAAATCGTTGAAAAATTGTTGCGCGGGAGGAGGGCATGGGAGGGATAGAGAAACAGCCCCATATCATCATTGTTCGCAGCCTCCTAGATGACACAAATAGAAGGGAGGATACATATATCTATGAAAGAGAACTAAATCTTTTTGACCCACTGGGGAACACAAACGGGACCTCATTTCCAACACTGTAAATCATGCCCATAAATTATCTGTGTTCGAGGACGCGGAATCATATGGACATCGAGACTGACAAAACAAACCACATCAGAACACGATTCAGTGAAGAGGGTTGATAATAATCAGTAGAATGATCAGCAGAAATGGCGAGTATGCGTTGCTAGCTCTTTGAAGAAGTCAAATGTACCAGCTACATCTCCAAGCAAAGGTCAACTTTGCGGGAGCTGGGACCCGGAACAATGTTGCATGGATTGCAGGAGACTCGCTGTTCTCAAACAGGCCTAACTGATAAACACAAACGCGGGCGCAACACGGAAAGTCCGACTACCCAGCTGGGAGTACTCGGCGACGTTGGCCTATGTTGAATACATGTGCAGAGACATGCGACCTCCCGGATAAACAAAACATGCTTGGATCAACAAAATTCAGCGCAATCGTGTGATCAGATTATCGTAAACAAGCTGTGACAGAAATCAGTACTAGCGTCACCCGCCAGAAATGACCTTACTAACTTGTTAGCATATCACGCTAATGTTTGATATGTCAGCAATAAAGTCCAGCTGCTCTTCTGCGAGGCAGCTCTCCTGTCATAAGTTATTCAGCTTAAAACAAGTTTAAGTTCCTCGTTCGCTGCGCTCCTTCGTCACATCCACCATCCTCCGTCTCCTGGCTGTCACCCCCCCCCCCCCCTGCAGTCTTCTTCAGTAGGTACAGGTCTCGCGGGTTTTAGCGGCAGGTTTTGCACCTATGAAATTTAGTATACTTCAGGCGATATCTTGGTCGTCTTAAGCTTTTGAGTGTTGAAAATGCGATAAAATTGTTCGTTCATAAGCCTTCCAAAATGGCTTCATCGTAGCTCGATTAGTTTCTGAGATATAACCGGAAATGTAAAAGGGCAAAACCTACCGCTTAATCTCGCGAGAGCCGTACATACCACTCACACTGAGGTTCTATCTTGCCGCAGGTTCTGCGCCGGCTGGCCGCCTGGCTGGACTCGGAGGATGCGGTACGGCGTCAGCAGCGTCAGGACCTGGACTCGGTCCGCCAGCAGCTGGACAAGGTGGCGCTGGAGCTGGAGCGCATCGAGACCAAGATGGACCTCAAGATGGACCGTCTTCAGGAGGTAGATACCGCCCGGCGGCACTAGACTAAACCTTGTTAGGTCCAATTAGCGCGCAGTGGAAGGATGGGATGGGAGCGTCCTCCCGCAAACCGTCTACCCTGAGCGACACCGAAATAGGAGACACAGGAAGTTTTAGGTTCCTAAAAGAAAACAAAAATATAACGTATTGTGCGCGGTAGGCTCATTAACTCGTCAGTGACTCCAGTTGGCCTCAATTGCTGAGACAGCGCCGTTGGAAGGGTAGAAGTGACCAGCTGGGTGGTCGGTTTCAACGCCCCATCAGTCACAGGCCACTAGTTCCAACAAACAACAGAGGGCGATGATATCCTCCGTTGGCACACCAGTGCGTCAATATACGGCCGTGCGGCGCTCATGGAGACAGTGTGGCAGCACCCACGTCCGGTGGGTCGGACAAACACGCGTCACGGCCGCCGCCAGACGCCGGCGATTGTAAATACCGGGAAAACGGCCCGGCCAAAGTACAGAGAGTCGCCCTCAGGGTGATCGGTGCGGCTCAGAACAGCGCGACTCGGCACCGTATGTGCCTGGGATACAGAGCAGACGAGTTAACCCTATTCCTGGCGGGGGGCGGGCCTCAGGAGCCCCCCCCCCCTGAGGTTTTTTGGTTATTTCTCCCAAACGCGTTGAGCTAGGAAGCTCAAATTTTCTGACTTTTCCTAAAAGGCTTCTACGCAACTTGTCTGAAAATCTTGAGTTGATCTGACCTCAGGTCAGGTCACCAGAGGCGGTTTGGTGACCCTACCTCAGAAAAGTTTGCAATCACGCCAGAGCTAGAGTTTTTGACAGATCAATTTCTTCTCTTCAGGCTTTAGTTAGGGTACCAGTATGTGCAATTTGTATATCTCGGAATTTTGATATCGGTGACCTAAGGTCAGGTCAGTTTCGCGACCTCCCCATTATAAGTCAATGGGGGAAAAATCAACTCCCTGTTTTTACCACTAAAACGGGTCGGAATGGCCCCATATACCATACATGACTTCATATACGATCAACCTTCACTACCTTGAGGTCTGTTTTGCTGTTGGGCAGCTGTGAGGTCATGTGACGTCATCAAAGGTCACCAAAGGTTTTTGGCCAATAACTCCGTACAGGAACAAGATACAGACGCGTGGATGGTCTCATTGTGTTCAGCTCGTCAAGACTCATCGAATGATATACATGATGACCTCGAGGTCACGTGACCTGAGGTCAACCTTTGACCTTGACCTTTCGAGGTCAACATATATATCATTCGATGCGGATTGACGAGAGGATCACGATGATGCCCTTAGTTTGTTCCTAGCTTGACTAATTCGAAAGTTATTCGAGAAAAACTCTCTCCATATCTAGCGCCACCATTTTGACTTTTTCGACCCCTGTGACGTCATCTTTGACCTGACCTGAAAATGACCTTAGTAAAAATTGTAGATCTTGACCGTGCGTATCCGATGCCGTTTACCGTTTGTCGCTGCGATGTGTAGTTTTTGAGATCTGAAGGGGGGCCGAATCGGCCCCCCCCCCGCCAGTTTCTTGTCCCGGCGGAGCCCGCCGGGAATAGGGTTAAGACGTGAATCATGTGATGGCCATAAATGAAATCAGTGAAATCGGCGCAACCTAGCAAAACGCTACCCCTTCAGACCGCAGGTCACAACAGTCACCCCGCAGCCACCCCTGGGCACTGTCTGAGGACAACCCCTGTCTCCGCTCTAGGTGTTGATCGGCAGAGACATCAAGGAGGACGCCACCAGCCGCCGCCAGGGGGCTCAGCTGGAGCGGACCGCCCTGCTCCTCACAGAGGTCAACGGCCAGCTCCTACAGCTCGACTCCAGTCTCCAGGTCAGGTCACAGCCGGCGGCAGGTCAGGGTCAGGTCACAGCCCGCGGCAGGTTAGGGTCAGGTCACAGCCGGCGGCAGGTCAGGGTCAGGTCACAGCCCGCGGCAGGTTAGGGTCAGGTCACAGCCGGCGGCAGGTCAGGGTCAAGTTACGGCCCGTGGCAGGTCAGGGTCAGGTTACGGCCCGCGGCAGGTCACGGCCGCGTCAGGACCACTGATAGGTTAGGGTCAGGTCAAGGCCCGCGGCAGGACACGGCCGCGACAGGGCCACTGATAGGTCAGGGTCAGGTCAAGGCCCGCGGCAGGTCACGGTCAGGTTACAGGGCGCAGCAGATCAGGTTGGGTCACGGGGGGCGGCAGGTTCTTCATTTCTGAAGGACATGGGAAAACAATGCATAATACACATTACCTGCTGATATGCTAATGAATAAACAAACTCTGCAAGAAGGCGTAGAACAGAAATAAGACTTTAATGTTATTGCTGTCCTCAGGGAAATTTAGATGAAATAAATCAGAAGATCACAACTCTGGAGAGCCAGCTCCAAGTCCTCCGGAACGCCGTCCCCTCTGATCCAGCGACAACTGAGCAGATAACAGTGAGTAGGTAATAATGCCAACCTGTGGCCCACACATAGCAGGATATCTGGAACAATGTAGACCATCGTATAAATCAAATCAATGAAATCAATCAGGTGGCAAGCTCCCATCCATTCAACAGACTTCTACCTCATCTGAAGCAAAATTGAGCATTAGCGTGAAGGAGTTACTCCATTGGCCAGGAACTTACACATCCACCCTTCCCGGTCCATCAGAGGCAGCAGCCTGCTGTCACCGATGACGTCACCAGCAGCCAGGGAGCCAGTGACGTCACGGCCGCTCTGCGCCGGCTGGCGGACGGCATGGAGCGGCTCCAGTGTGGGGACAGTGGCGGGAGCGCGGCCGACCGGACAGAGGGACGCGGGACCGCCCCGCCGGAGGACGAGGACGGTGGAGACGCTGCCGGAGACACGGACCAACAGCCGCCGGAGAGCGAGAGCGGGGCCGTCACCGCTGGCCGCTCAAAGGTGGGGAGCTGAGACTGCAGCAGGGGCTGCCGGACCCGGATAGGGACGGATTGACCTTACACAGTGCACCAACAAATAGACGAATACTAGGGTCCAGATCACGGAGCTCGTACGCATTAGTGTGTTGTCGTGTTGAGCGCATCGTCATTGGTGTCGCTGACAGATGCACTGCGAAACTCATGGCCAGACAGTAGTTTGCTGGGAATAAGAGGCACGTTGTAACCCATGGCATCGTGCGCTCCAGCTGTTCGCGTCCCACTATGTCCCCAGACGAAGGGGCTCCTGCCGGCGCTGCGGCTGCTCAGAGCGGTGGAGAGGCAGATTTTTCAAGTCAGCCTGCAGCTCGAGGAGGGCCTGGAGTGGCTGGACGGGCGCGTCGGATACAAGTTCAGAGGACTAAGTATGACCACGGAGTTGAACTTAATTAGGGGGCTCAGCAGCACGCCATTCTATCTAACAAGCAATAATTGAGATTAATCATTTTGAATGGATAAATTCATACAAGCATGCTACCGTACGAATGACCCCAAATGAAAACCGATACGATTCAACGCATGGTTGCCTACCATCCCCTATCATGTAGGGAAGCATGGATACCGCGGTGGATACTGCGGTAGATACGGTAGTTTCCATAAGTCAGAGGACAGAAGCCGATGGCTTACATGCCCCCCCCCCCCCCCCCCGGTGATGGAGCGCCCAGGCACTCAGTGACCCTGACTGCTGTTTGGGCACAGACAGCAGACGGATCTCGTCAGAAACATCGGCCCACACAGCCGAGACGCATCGTAATGCGAGTTTCGGCGGAGAGTGCAGCGGGGGCTTGACTGAGCACGATAGTTCTCAAAAGGCATCCTGATGCTACACGATATATTCTGACGTCACATGACATGTCCTGACGCTAAATGCCGAGCAGCGTGAGAGCATCATTTCCTTATGTTACATGCTGAGCTCTTTACGACCGAGGGTGGACAGCGCTCCAGACTGCAGATTCTCTTAATAACATTTGTAAAAGTCTGCTATAAAGCCAGAGTCAATAAATGATCAAATATCACTGTAGTATAAATTGGCCTCTAAAAGCGACCTCGAGTACAGGTGGATCGATCTCACTCATACTTCTCGCTTCGTCTCTCAATGCGCCCTGGCTGCATCGCCGCAAGTATCCACCTCATGGTGGCCGTCGCGCTCCTAGCGCCCCCTACCGGTCCGGTAGGGGTGAGCTGGACTCCCTGGATAGCGCGTACCTACTGCTGGTATTCGCGGGGCAGAGATAGGGCGGCTTGACCTTAAGGTAGCTCAGCCATCCGACACAGCCGACCTCAATGACAGCTCTCTATATTATCGCACCTCTCTCAGATCTTCCCGTCAATAGCTTCTTTGCGATGTCTTTGAGATCAGCTCTGCCACAGGATAGGTGATCTGTAGATATGGACAAACTACGGCATCTGAGCTCTAAAACCCTCAACGAAGCATCACAATCCACCGCTGAAACACGTTGTTCAGTAACAACTCCCGAGTCGTGTCTCCGCTGACGACGTTCCGCTCCGGCAGAGGAGAACCTGGCCACCATGGCCTCGTCGCTGCGCACGCGCTTCTTCGAGCGGCGCGACCACCTGGAGGAGGTGGCCGAGAAGATTCTGCGCCTGCAGACAGCCGCCACTGACGGACAGCGGGCTGACGCCGGCGGCGACCGACAGGTGGCAACGCACGACAGCGTCATCACCGCACTGGAGGCCATACTATATGACGTCTTCGATTCGGATATGTGGTAACGTGACAGATGGACTGTTGGTCCCTTTCAGGGAGATGGAAAGTAGCTGTTGTTAGTGCAGATCCCGGGACATATGGCACGCAGCGGTGTCTCAAGGAGTCCAAAGTAATTATGGGTTAGCCAGGGATGCGGAGCCGGAGTCGGAGCCGGAGCCGGAGCCGCCGGAGCCGGCATATTTTGCCCGGAGCCGGAGCCGGAGCCGGAGCCGTGAAACAATGTAGCCCGGAGCCGGAGCCGGAGCCGGAGCCGTCAAAAAAGGGGGCAACTCCGGCTCCTTTTCTTTAGAGGAAACAATTATTTACCTAGTTCGGTTTGATAGTAGGGACCGTCGAGGGTCAGTGTTCTCTACCTTCAGTGTTCGCATACACGGTTACACCTCGCCTCGCATTCAAAGCAATGCTGCCACCACCTACAAGGCGTAAAACAATGTGGTATTCAAAATAGCCTTGTTATACAAATACAGTAGCAACGTGCACCAATCCCATCGCCTTTTTTCTTCCACCCGTATTTAATTGATCGCATAGGGGATGTACTTAGTAGATGCCGGAGCCGGAGCCGCCGGAGCCGGATCATTTTACTCGGAGCCGGAGCCGGAGCCGGAGCCGCCATGACATTTCACCCGGAGCCGGAGCCGGAGACGGAGCCGATTTTTTTCTCCGGAGCCGGAGCCGGAGTCGGAGCCGTCTGAAATTTCCACGGCTCCGCATCCCTGGTTAGAGCTTATCCCCCATTGGCACTGGTGTTGCAGCATCTTATGATAAAGAATGGAAAATACGTGAATTCAGGTGCGGCGCTATAGTGGCTCTCCTACCATCGCTCGTACCTTCGTAGTCGGTACGTCAGCGGCCATGGCAGTGTAAGTGTTGTACCTATACTATGACGGACTCTGTATGGCCAGGTACGTGCTGTCCACCAAACTGGAGGAGGCCGTCAGCGGACAGGGCAACGTGACGGCCAAACTCGGGCAGATGGAGAGCGACATCGACCAGGGCTTCAGCAAACTGAACGTAAGCAGCTCAAAGCCTAATTTCAACGCGATAAAATTACGTTATATCTTATTTAACCACATGCTTTGTATACTTCCTTCGTCCTTGGATAGTCATTATTTTATACGACCCTGACGGGCGGTTTCTTTCCTCCCCCTACCCTCCCCGTGTGTCGGCAGGCCAAGCTGACGGCGCTGTACAGTCTGCTGAAGGCGCCCCCGGACACGGCCGACGCCTCCCGGGACCACATTGACGCCGAACTGGCCGCCCAGATGGGACACATGTTCAGCAACATCAGCAGTCAGCTGCGCGACATCGAGCTGAAGCTGGCCGGCGGGCAGACCACCTGACAGCCGACACCGTTGCATCGCGCTCACACCGACGCCAGCTCAGCAGCGGACCGCGAGCCCACGCCTTGTACAGTGTACACACCTCTCAGTCATAATTTACGGAATGTAAAATAAACCAGCGCAGAATATGATGGTGGTTCACTCAGTCTTCTTCGCCCGGTAAGGTAGCCCGTTCATAGAAACGGCTAATCGCACGGACGGCTATTCAAGCTCGTGGGAAAATAGACACGTCATCCTTTCCCCGAGGGGCACTGTGTAACAGAACACTGAACTACGGACACTACACTCGGCACTGACATGCCGGGACGAGGAGTTCCGATGACCGGGATGAAGCACAGCGCTATCAGTGTTCAGGGTGACAGTGAACGCAGCACCGTCGGCTCGGCACCGGGCGCTGCCGCCGAACGGTGACACGCCAGGACGTGTGGCCGTGTGCGAGCCACCTCCTACCAGCGCCGTCCGATACACGGTCTACAAACTCCGTACGAAGAAGCCAGGTGGCTTCTGAGCGTCATTATCGTGTCATCAGTTAGGGTCCTTCTCTACACTAAACGTGTTTCTGTTAAACGTCAATCAAACTTTTAATGATTATGAGGTTTGTGTTTACGAGCACGTTTACGTCGAGAGTGGACGATTACGTGCGAGGTGTGTTTTTATACGTTTTAACTGTAATAAAGATGGATTGTTACAAAGTTATGAAAGATGTTTAATTTATAATGACAAAACAGCTTTCCAGAGGAGCATCCTCCAGAATGAAGATTGCTCAGGGGATAGGGCATCTCGATGGAACGCAACTACATGGCGTGTTTTACGCTTTTTCGGTTTATTACATTAACACGCGCAGTGGAAGGGTTGCGAGTACTACGCCCAGTGGAAGGGGGGGGGGGCGGATGTCGCCCCCCCCCCCAAGATCTCAGCTCCCACTGGAGCTAGAAAGACGAAATTTGGAGGGTAGGTGGAGGCCATAGGGAACTCTGTTGTGTGTGAATGTCATGACCCTAGGTCAATATCTTCAAGGTCAAATGAGGTCAAATGTGGTCAAATCTGCCATATTTGCGACTTTTTTGCGTTTACACGCCGATAACTCGAAAAGTTACCGGCCGATTTTCTTTTTTTCTTTCACTATACGAAAGACCAAACCTTTGTGAGTATGTATGGTGAATTTCAAGTTAATCCAACAATGAATATGGCAGTTAGAAGCCTGCTAAGGGTAAGATGTCGCCGGCTGAAGCGGGATCGGCCGACGCGGGAAACGCGGCAATCACAATTTTATGTTTACACACTCATAACTCAAGTTGTTACCGGCCGATTTTCAAAATTCTTTGACCATACGATTGCCTGTACATTTCTCAGTCTTCTCACCAAATTTGACGTGAATCTAATGTAATCAGCGGTAAGGAGCGCGATGTAAAGACGGAACCGTCCCGCCCCGGCACAGTCTACAATTCAGGCGGCGCGTAACGGCTAGCGCCGGCCGCCGCGCCGCCGCCGCGGCAGGATGTTTGACTTTACACCGCTATTACTAGAAAAGTTGTGAACCGATTTTCTTATTTCTTGCACGAGAAGATCCGCAATTCAATTCTAGACAGGTAGCCGAAATTGCACATTAATATTATGTTTGCGGCGCGAGTTATTGGCGAAAAACAGGAGGGGTGGGCGAAATCCGCCCCCCCCCCCTTCCACTGCGCGTGTTAATCCATTCTCACTATCTGATTGACCTGCCACGTTTTCGCACAACAAAGAAAGCATCGACTAATTCGTGTATCGCCATTACTGTATCACCGTCCCTATGTGCGTAGTATGTACCTTGCGCCTATGAATTCAAACAAACACCAGAGTGATACTATTCCGCTAGATACGCCGTCTTTGAGAGGCCGTCGCTGGGACCCACCTCGAGCTTGGCGTTGTTCTGGAAGACGGTCTGCGCCTTGTGGACGAGCTGCGCCCAGCACGAGGCCATGGCAGCCAGTTTGTGCCGCACGGCGCCCGTGAGGCCTCCGGGCGCCTCGTCCAGCTCCGGCGGCATATCACCCGCCTCCTCGAGGGAGTCCAGGATACCGCTGCCTGCGGGAACCGGGGTGACTCATGAGGGGTGGTGGCTGGCACATCAGTAAGAACTCGGTCCATGACAAAAACACATTTATAAGCTGTAGTTTTGGCAATTTCAATCCAGTATGACTGGTAGGTATTCCACTTACCCAAAATGGTATCCAAATCTACAAAGGCAACATCAAAGTCTTTTTCCAGTGTATCTAACCACTGGAATGACATTGCAGCCACTGCCATGGTTCTTCACAACTGTAGTTGCCTAAAATACTGAAAACATGAGCACAATTCCGTCAGTAGCCTGCCTATGTATGGCCATGGGGTGAAAACCCATATTAAGTATAAACACTAGGGTGTGTCGACAGAGGGGTTTTTCTCACAGATTCGCGTTAGACAAAGATATAAATTGGCGGGAGCATGCCAAAACACTAGCCCTGCAGTTGGTTTTGCGTAAAAATGCGATTTGACGAGGCTCGGGCAGGTCGAAGTTACAGCGAAAAAGTCGCAGTCGACGGTGCTGCCACCTACATTGCCAATAACGGGCACTATCATATCGTTATAATTGGGGTAGTTTCAAATGAGAAATGACTTCTATTTTTGTTCAAACTGCATAAGAAGAAATAAAACAATTCGGAAACATACATTTTTCCCAAATATCGCGTTCCATTTTTTCCTGTTGAGTTGTTAGGAAAGTGGTAAATTTCAAGGTTGACGGCTAAAAAACGAAACAGGAGGAACAGAGCAGGAATCACCAAGACGTGCGCCGCGCCGATGCTGTAGCCTGTAGATAAGGAGTGAGCAACAGAACCAGCATACCTAACGATTTTGATTAGTGATGGATATTTTTCTCTAAATGAAAGACTATTAGTAACTCAGGCAAGCCTTCTAATATAGGTATCGACAGGGTTGCGGTAAAAGGTACAATCGATGGCACATTACAATTATTCTGAGTTGGGAAACAACACTCTTCAGATACCTACCATCAACAACCTCACTATCTCCTATATGGGAGCTATTTCATCTGATTCCAGCGCCCTGAAAACAAACAGGTTATCATCAAAAATCTCTGTATTAGCGCCTACCGACATATGCTGAATGATGCTATCAATACCCAACATTTGTAAAAGGTGATTCGCCACGCAGCCCGCCGGCGTCGGAGGGGTTGAATCAGTGAGCCAGATTGCCAGCGACTCACCGCTGAACTACCGGGCGTAACAAAACGGACGATGCGACATGACTCAGAGATCATCACAGACGCGACGGTAGCCAACCGCGCCTCTGATGTGCCTATGCTTTAAAAATGTTTGGCCAAAATTTAAGATCTATGTTATCTAGTGCTAATATTTGGGTTTTCGGTTTTTCTAATCCCCTCTATTTCACGGATTGCTTGAAAAAAAGCTAGAGGGTTTCTTTTTACCGATGTCAAGTGGTTTTAGTTCAAAAGATTGATGGTGCTGCTACTGGCAACAGTATTGGCGCAATATAACCGTTCTTTAGTCACCATGTCAATAATATTGACACAATCAATGACCACCGACTCTCACTGAATGTGTCTTCCTGTGTTCCGCAGGAAGCTGAGCTGTGACTGACTGGCCATTGCGTGTCATCAGTTCGGCCAGTAGCGGCGGAATACCTTCAATTAAGGGGGGCACTGCCGACTTTTAGTCCCATTCATTCCATGCAACGCCCATAGGGCTAATGTTAAAATGCCAAAATCAAAGGGGGCACGGTGCCGCGGTGCCCTCCCTGTTCCGCCGCCTATGAGTTCGGCTTGACAAGGGAACCGCGAGGTGGCAGATAGCGATATTACGTATCTGAACGAGGGTTCCGCACGAGCTCAGATGGGGCGGGGTGGGGCACGACACCTGGCGGGCTGCTGGGATCGTGCTCACGATCGAGCCCCTGCTGCCCGCCCGCGCGCCGCCGTGGGAGGTGGCCGCCTGCCCACACGTCACATTCTCCCTGGACATCGGAGCGTTGCGGCGGGACGCCCCTCCTGACGAACTGCACCAGGCGGCGCAGAGACACCTAGCGTCCCTCCCCCAGCAAGCCATCTGGGTTTGGACGGATGGGTCGGCGGATGCGGGAGTCCGCAGCGGAGGAGCAGGAGCCTTTGTGGAGTGGCCGGACGGTGCAACCGACGAGCTACGCGTCCCTGCCGGTCAACTCTGCTCGAGCTTCAGGGCGGAGATGGTCACACTCCGCGCGGCCCTGAACCACCTGCGCGACCACCCGCACCAGCCGAGCGCGCCGATCACCATCTGCTCGGATTCGCAGTCGGCCCTCGCGACGCTGAGAGAGGGCCCGGCGTCCCAGAAGACCCTGCTAGGAGCCGCCATCTGGACCGAACTAGCGGCCCTGGCCGGTCCGTCCCGCCGGATCCACCTACAGTGGGTGCCGTCCCATTGCGGCGTCGACGAAAACGAGCGCGCCGACCAGATCGCCAAGGAGGCGACCCCGCTCCCCCAGGCGGCGGTCCCGGTGGACGTCGCTACCGCCCACCGCGCGGCCGCCAGACTGGCCCGCGACCGCACCATCGCCGCCTGGCCGGAGGGCTGGTACCGGACCCTGATGGAGAACCGGCTGCCGCCGCCGGCCGCGACGGGGGACAGATCGTCGGCCGTCGACGTCCACCAGCTCCGCGCGGGCCACTGGTCAGGATCCCGCCAATACCTTCACCGGATTGGACGGAACCCTTCCGATGATTGCCGCCAGTGCCCTGACACCGACTGTGCGGCGGGCCGGTGCACCGTGTGCCGGGAGGAGGCCACACGCCCCGGCACTTCTTCTTCCGGTGCCCGGCCCTCATGGGCTGGCGTCTCCGGATGTACGGAACGATTTTCCTGAACCCGGAAGACGTCCGCGACGACGGAGAGGTGGCGGCCCTGGCGGCCGCCGTGAGGGACCTCCAGAGCCGCACGGCTACACCGCGGTGACGCGGCTGGAGGGAACACACAACAACAACAACAACAACAGCTCAGATGGCCTTCGGTTACATTTTTCGTTGCGTCTGTGATGATCTCTGAGTCATGTCGCATCGTCCGTTTTGTTATGCCCGGTAGTTCAGCGGTGAGTCGCTGGCAATCTGGCTCACTTATTCAACCCCTCAGACGCCGGCGGGCTGTGTGGCGAATCACCTTTTACAAATGTCGGGTATTGATAGCGTCATTCAGCGTATGTCGGTAGGCGCTAATATAGAGATTTTTGGTAATAACCTGTTTGTTTTCAGGGCGCTGGAATCAGATGATATAGCTCCCATATAGGAGATAGTGAGGTTGTTGATGGTAGGTATCTGAAGAGTGTTGTCACCCAACTCAGAATAATTGTATAAATGTGCCATCGATTGTACCTTTTACCGCAACCCTGTCGATACCTATATTAGAAGGCTTGCCTGAGTTACTAAAAGTCTTCCATTTAGAGAAAAATATCTATCAGTAATCAAAATCGTTAGGTATGCTGGTTCTGCTGCTCACCCCTTATCTACAGGCTACAGCATCGGCGCGGCACACGTCTTGGTGATTCCTGCTCTGTTCCTCCTGTTTCGTTTTTTAGCCGTCAACCTTGAAATTTACCACTTTCCTAACAACTCAACAGGAAAAAATGGAACGCGATATTTGGGAAAAATGTGTGTTTCCGAAAAGTTTTATTTCTTCTTAAGCAGTTTCAACAAAAATAGAAGTCATTTCTCATTTGAAACTACCCCAATTATCACGATATGATAGTGCCCGTTATTGGCAATGTAGGTGGCAGCACCGTCGACTGCGACTTTTTCGCTGTAACTTCGACCTGCCCGAGCCTCGTCAAATCGCATTTTTACGCAAAACCAACTGCAGGGCTAGTGTTTTGGCATGCTCGCGCCAATTTATATCTTTGTCTAACGCGAATCTGCGACTATCGACACACCCTAATAAACACTATTGTGACAAAACAAAGCACAAACAGAGACATCAGATACAGCTATTCCTCAGCAGTTTCTTTATGCCTATATTGCTTTGTAATCCATCTAGCTAAAATGTTTCTTGATCTCAATCTAGCTCAAATATTTGAAGCTTGTGCGAGGCTGCCAGCCCTGAGCACCATCCAGTCAGGCCTGGCCGCCTGGGCCCCAGCATTGGACTTGGAGACTGGAGTGCCATAAAGATGGACATGATCGCACGATATTCATATACACTGTGATCGCATCAATGTACTTCTAAGATCTTGTGGAGTTAGATTTGTGGAATAGTTGAGAGAAGGGAGTCTCAGCAACCCAGCAGCAGCTGAGTGGCCACCACTAGGATGAGGACCCTCGCGGCGCTGGAGAGGGTCGTTCCGATTCAGAACTGTTTGCTTCCTCTACAACACAACATGCACCAGACTAAATGTTGCAGTCTTAAAAGCATAGGCCGTCAAATATTGATAACCATGCCCATGACCAGGGGCAGGGTCACCAGTAGGTAGGTAGATACCTCAAAACATTAAATATTTAAGTTATCAACCCAATGTATCAAAAGGTATCTAGTGAATCAATTTGAATTAAGCCTGACATAAAAACTAGGTTAACCTTGCACTACACAATGAATACTGAGACGAAAACTAATAAATCATAAATGGGATGTGTTCTTCTGGGTCAAAAGACGGGAGGATCCGAGGATCCGAGTCAAAAGACGGTGGTGTGGAACAGCAGAGGAGCGGAGATGAGGACATAACCCCAGAAAAAGGTGAGAAAACCCTTTCAGCTGCTAGTAAGTGCAAACGAAACATTCAGAAGCTCGATGAGAACGCCTACCGACTCTGGGGAGGCTGTTCTAGAGCATCTAGTGACACTGGGAGTGAATCAGCAATCTGCAAAGGTGGGCCCCTAAACATGGATTGTGGGAATCCAGTTCTTGATAGCCAGGAGGGGGTCCAATGTGACTGCTGCTCCGGGTGGTTCCACGATACATGTCAGGGAATCGAAGTCCCAGCAATCCGAGCTCTGGACAAGTACAAGATTCTCTCATGGCTCTGTGCCGAATGCAAGTACAACATCAAAAAGAAGGATGAGTCCAAGAAGGTAGACTGTCTCGAAACAAAAGTTCACAACCTTGACACGGATGTACGTAAGCACATGGAGTTTGTCGAGAACTTCCTCAAGGACCAGGAAAAAACTCACATGGAGCAAAGTAAACAGCTAGAACAAAGCCTAAAAACCTACAGTGAAGAGAAAAAAACATATGCAGAAATCTTGAAAGGTACATGTGAAGAAGTTGCCCAAAAGGTGTCAGAAAGGGTGGCATCCCTTCCAGCCAACAATGGTAAGGGTGAAGCTCAGACCACAGGTGCATCTGGGAAAACTGTCCAGGATATCTCATCTGTATTCGATGACTTCCTCGACAAAGAGAAGCGGAAGTTAAACGTGGTTGTTCACAATCTGAAGGAGTCCCCGGGTGACTCTTTCAAGGAAAGGTCTGAGGGAGATGCTGCCCTGTTCACATCCATGATAAAGAATGCTTTTAAGTTGTCTGTCACTCCTGTGAAAACATTTCGAGTTGGAAAGAAACTCCCTGATAGACCACGACTTCTTATAGTCACACTTGACAGCTTGTCCTCCAAGTATGACATACTAAAGATGTCCCCTCAACTAAGGAGCTCGGATGAGTTTAGCGACATCTTTATCAACCCAGACATGACCCAGAAAGAACGGGAACTGGGAAAGAAGCTAAGAGATGAACTTGCTGCCCGTAGAAGAGCTGGCGAAACAAACCTCACTATCAGAAGAGGCAGAATTATCCAGAGAGATGATGGAGCAGCTCGCGCATCTGCTCCCGAGGGAACAGCTCGTTCATCTGCTCCGCAACCAAACCTCAACTCAGTGCCACCCCAAGCTCCTGCTCCAGGGCCACGCACTGTTGTTGGCCAGGAAGGAACTCTCCCTGTACAGGAATCTGGAGCCAACCAGGAGTCTGCTTCAGCCTCAGCCGATGCTCTCAATCCAACTCCAAGTGCTAGACCAACCAGCACTCACCAGAGAGGTGGTCACAAATGACTAGCCTCCCACCTCAAGGAACATGGCAAAACGGGGCTGAAAGTAATTTATACGAACACTGACCAGTTCCCTAACAAGAAGGACGACCTTTGCATGCTTATCGCTGGTAACGAACCTGATGTAATCTTGCTCACCGAGGTCATCCCGAAAGCACAAGTTCATCCTATTTCTCCAGCCATCTTGTCTATCCCTGGCTTCACTCTACATTGTAACTTTGAGCCTGACCAACCCAATCTCGGCTCTAGTGGAAAAAGGGGTGTTTGTATCTATGTGAGAAACAATCTACAGGCTGTTCTAGTTGAATTTAGTGGCCACAACTTCGAGGAGCAATTGTGGGTGAGGTTTGAACTGATGAACTCTGACATCTTGCTTGTTGGGTGCATCTACCGAAGTCCTTCAGGAAACAATCTCCAAAGCATGCATGAGCTTGCAGACCTTCTTGAACAGGTGTGTTCACTGAATCCATCCCATCTGCTTATTGCTGGGGACTTTAATGTGCCTGATGTCGACTGGGATAGTGGCTTCTCAACCGCTCCTGACAACCATTACTCTCACTTACTGGTGCAAACTTTCAACGACTGTCTCCTCGAGCAGCATGTCTCCAAACCAACCAGATATAGACAAGGTGAAGCCTGTAATGTGCTGGACTTGATTCTCACCAATGAAGCGGGACTGGTCTCCAATTTAAACTACATGCCTGGTCTAGGAAACAGCGATCACGTTCTGCTGAAGTTTGACCTGAATTGTTATGCTGGCCCAGGGAAATCTGACATCCCGAAGCTAGATTTCAGGCGTGCAAACTTTTCCACCCTGAATGCACTGCTGAGCGATGTTAACTGGGGTGTGCTGGCCCAGTTGAATGTGGACCAAAGCTACAACTTCTTCAAACACTCAGTTGCTGGGGCTGTCAAGGCCTCTGTTCCCACTGCTAGGGCAGGACAGAGGAAGAAGAATCTATACATCAACGGGAAGGCCAACCAGCTCAAAAAGAAGAAAGTAACCTTGTGGCGCCAGTACACGGTAACCAAAGACCCCATTGATCATGCCAGATTTGCACGCTGTCGAAACGAGCTCAGGAGCCTCACCAGAAGCTTGCGAAGAAACTTTGAGCTCCAACTGGCGGCCAAGATCAAAACCAATCCAAAGGCCTTCTGGCAGTACACGAATTCACGCCTGAAAGTGAGGACGGGTATCGGAGATATTCTCGACCCCGAAGGCAGGTCAGTCAGTGACGACTCAGCAAAAGCCGACATCTTGAATGACTACTTCTCCAGTGTCTTCACTACTGAGGAACATGAAGTTCCCGAACTCGCCCGGCAGCAAACCTCACTCAACATCAGCGATGTGTCCATCTCCCCAGAAATGGTCCGACAGAAGCTGGCATCCCTGAAGACCACGAGCTCTCCTGGCCCCGACGACATCCACCCAAGAATTCTGTCTGAGTCGGCCAACTCTATCAGTGCTCCTCTCGCTTCCATCTACCGCAAGTCACTAGATGAAGGATGTGTTCCCCACGACTGGACACTTGCCACAGTTGTGCCCATCTTCAAAAAAGGAGACAGAAGACGACCAGAGAACTATCGTCCAATTAGCTTAACTGCAGTGACGTGCAATGTCATGGAGTCGCTGATAAGGGACCAATTGATGGCATACCTCACCTCGAATGGACTGTTGTCGCGTCACCAGCATGGTTTTCGCCCACACCGATCCTGTACGACTCAGCTACTGGAAGTCTTGGATGACTGGAGCCGTGCGATTGAAGACGGGAGCCCGGTCGACGTCATATATCTGGACTTCAGAAAAGCTTTCGATTCCGTCCCTCACGAACGCCTACTGGTCAAACTGAGAGCTTACGGTGTGACTGGACACCTCCTTGAGTGGATAAGGTCGTTTCTATCCAATCGGCAACAACGAGTCGTCGTGCAAGGTTGTCAATCCACCTGGTCTCCTGTCACCAGCGGGGTGCCACAGGGTTCTGTACTAGGGCCCCTTCTGTTCCTTGTATATATTAACGACATCCCCGACGCGGTGAGGTCCTGCATCAAGATTTTTGCTGATGACACGAAGTTGTACCGCAGCATTGATACTCCCAGTGATGCATCCCTGCTCCAGCTCGACATTGATGCTCTCACCACCTGGTCCAAGAAGTGGCAGCTTGCATTCAACCAGAGCAAGTGTGCGTCCTTGAACGTCGGGGCCAAGAACTCTGGTCACTCCTACTCTATGAACGGTGTCTGCCTCGCCTCCACCTCAGCTGAGAGAGATCTGGGTGTCATCATCGATCCCGAGCTGAAGTTCAGGAGGCAGGCTTCCTCAGCTGTATCAAAGGCTTCACAGATTCTGTCTCTGATCCGGAGGTCATTCTCGAATCTGGACGAGATCACCCTGCCGATTTTGTTCAAGGCATTTGTCAGGCCCCACCTTGAATACGGTAACCTCATATGGGGCCCGTTCAATCGTGCAGACATCAAGCTTGTGGAGCGAGTCCAGCGCCGCGCTACTCGATTAGTGTCCAGCATCAGGAGCAAACCATATACTGAGAGACTGAAATGCCTGAAGCTTCCTTCACTGCTCCACCGAAGACGCCGTGGTGACATGATTGGAATGTACCAGCTGCTGCATAACGAGATCGATATCGACTCGGACAAGTTTGTCAAGCCTGCGTCCACGAGGTCCAACCGTGGCCATCCCTGGAAGCTGTACAAACCACATGCCAAGTCACGAGCCAGAAGACAACTATTCACTATTCGAGCGCTCAACGACTGGAACTCCCTCCCTGCAACAGTTGTCCAGGCCCCATCCCTCAATGCCTTCAAATCCAGACTTGACAAGCATTGGGCCAATCTGATGTACCTGACTCCTACTCACGACTAGAGATGACCACCAGTCACGAGCTCGACGAGAGCGGGACCTACAGGCAAGTTGCCTTTCAAAATTCCCGATAGTGTAAGGTAAGGTAAGGTAAGGTTCTTCACTAAAGACAAACCAGACCCCAGTAAATATAAATAAACAACAAGCACCTATCGTGCACCCAAGCCACCCATTTAAATACACCGTGCTATTGTGTTGTGAAGCAGTAGGAATCGGCTGGAATCGGCAATGCACACACTTGTTTTGAGGCGCAGGTCAATTACTGCAACTATTGTCTTAGCTCATAGGGAATCCTTGGGAATGCTGAAAAGGCTGGAAATAGTACTCAGCAAAAAAATTAAAAAGATGCTTCTCGATCAATCACAAGCTTTAAATTTGACCGGAGGTAATACATTTGATGTAACTTTAATGTATTTGTTACTTTAAAAGATAAAATAATATAAAAACATTCAAAAATGATTTTAAGAAAGTCGCCAGAATAAGAGAGCTTTTTCATAAACTCCCTAGATATTTACCTTACCTCTAGAAAAGCTACTTCACCGTTGACTTTTGTAATTACATGCGTCAATTCTGGCGCGAGTGGGACGAATACACAAGCGCCGTCGCTGCTCACGCTGTGTGTTTGGTACACAAGGTGTGAATTGGGAGAGCTGAGTGGTAGCTGGCTGTGTTTTTCTGATAAATTTTGTTTGAACAGGTAGGTAGATCATCAGAGCGCCAAGATAACCCACCCCTCCATGATTCTATATGTTTGTCTTCCTCCTGTCAGTCGCAGACCGATCCCAAAGGCTGGCGACGGCGTGCCTACACTCAAGCTCAAGCTTGAGCTGAGCCGGCTAACTAATTTTCATTAAATTCTGGTATAAGTCGGTCGTGACATCGCATTTCAAAGCCTGTACTCAAATTTTAGTAATTCTGGTGAAGTTTGCGTGCATACATTCTCCATCTGCCTACATTCTAGTAATTAAAATTTTGGTAAGAACATGTACCTACCTTCGATCCTGCCTATTGTACAGCCAGTCGAGTCAGTCTAAAAAGTACTGAGCAACACTTTGGGGAATCTATCAAGCCCGACCATGGAAGGACTGCTAAGTTTGAGTCACTGAAGCAGTTGACATCCTTGTCTATTCCCCAGTTCAGTTGGTTCGGTGACTCAAATTATAGCAGACTTTTCCTCAGTCAGGCTTGATAGATCCACCACACTGTTGAGCGGTACTTTAAAGACTGACTGTACATACCTTCAGGCTTTGATTCAACATTTATTATGCATTTCAGGAAAATGGCTGGAGATAACTTGCCTGAAGGATGGGAGAAGAAGACCAGCAGGTCCACAGGTGAGACTTTTTACATTATAAGGTCATTGTAGAATTGCAGATGTAGGTAGGTACCTATCCTCTCCTCTACCTAACTAGACAAATATCAAGAAGCATTAAATGCTTAATATCAGAATGAAGGCTGGCTTCATACTTTTTAACAACTATAGATGCAGGATTAATGATGTTGCCATTGGTGAAATTGGATGTGCAGTAACTGGATACCTATGCATTATCAATGGGCTGTTATTGGTAGGATGTATATTGTGTGGACTGGTGACCCTCTGCTATGCGTAATCCACCCCAGGTCAGGTCTACTACCTGAACCTGTACACCAAGGACAGTCAGTGGGAGGTGCCCACCGAGCCAGCGCGCGGCGGCGGCGACGGTCCGGCCAAGGTGCAGGCGTCCCACCTGCTGGTGAAGCACCGCGACTCGCGCCGGCCGGCCTCCTGGCGCCAGGATCCCATCACCCGCACCAAGGAGGAGGCGCTGCAGATCCTGCAGGGTAAGTCCGCCGGTAGTTCTCCGCAAAGTGGGAAATACCTAACATTGAGAGTGGATGATGTTTGTCTCAAGCATCACCTGGTACAATAAATGCGGCTGATATGCTTTCCATGTGATCCACACTGTACCACGGCTCTGATCTAACCGGTGCTTGCCGCTTCTGACCTTTATTTTCCGGTGTCCGGTTCTGATCAGTGTTTTCGGCTATGACCGTTGTCCGGCTTTGATCAGCAGTTTCTGGTTCTGATCTGTGTGCTCCGGCTTTAATCTGTGCTTTCCGGCTCTGACCTTTGTTCTCCACTTCCTGATCTGTGTTGTCCGGCTCTGACCTGCGTTTTCCGGTTCCGACTGCTGTTTTACGGTTCCGTTACGGTTTCGACCTTTGTTTTCCGGCTCTGACTGCTGTCATCCGGCTCTGACCTGTGTTTTCCGGTTCTTACTGGTGTGTTCCGGTCCGGCAGGGTACCGGGACCGCATTGTCTCCGGCGAGGACACGTTCGAGAACCTGGCCTCTCAGTTCTCCGACTGCAGCTCGGCCAAGCGTGGCGGTGACCTCGGGCCTTTCGGACGCGGCGCCATGCAAAAACCCTTCGAGGACGCCGCCTTCGCGCTGCAGGTGACTACGGGCGATCGCGGCGGGGTGCGATTTTGTATCATTTCCGGCTTTTATCTGCTAGAATAAATCCTCAGTCCTAGATTATTCAGCATCGCTGTCGATTTTTTTCTACATTTCATCAGTTTTTCTTTGAAGAAGCTATACTGCTTTGCATTCCTTATCTGGTCCCAGTCGGTAGTAGTCGCTGACGTTCCGTGTCGCCCGCAGGTCGGAGAGATGAGTGAGCCCGTCTGGACCGACTCCGGCGTCCACATCATAAAACGGCTGGCCTGAGCTCCGAGCCCGTCCCACAGAGCCGGCCATCAGCCGTCGGAGCAGCGCCGGCACATTCCGCTACATGGACCCTCCCGGAGCGACGTGAGCACCTCCCAGCCGACCCTCCCGACCGGGAATGCAGTAGGACCGGTGTCGTGTCCCTCCCCGTGGACGACTCCCGCTCGCGGATGGAGGCAGTGTTGTGAGCCGTAGCCGCGGACCCTTGCCAGCGGGTCCCTCTGAGTTGGGATGGTTCCGGACGATCGCCGTGCTGTAGAGCCCCGTTCCCCGCTCTACTCCCGATAGCTTATGTGTCCCGGCAGCACCGGCCGTCGAGCCGTCGGCTCGTTTGCCTGGGCTGTGTATAAGCTGCTGGATGGGAACGCACTTACAATCAGTTCAACGCTGGGAAGTCGTATGGGAATCATGCTTGGAAAGTGATGCGCTGGCCTTTTGTTCCGCTGCCATCGAGTTGTCTTGCTCCAAGATACGGTGAACCTGCCCCTCTCCCGGCCTCCCGGCTGCCTCATGCCTGAGCTAGGCGTCGACTGGCTATTTTCGGACGGTTGCACGTCGAATCATTTGTTGGTGTTTCCGAGTATCGACCTTGCTACAGTGTCGTGTGATTGAGGCGGTGGCATTTGCATTGACGAGCTAATAATTGTTACTGGAATTTCACTTTACTGTCGCCGCTTTCATGAACTTGCAATGTTTGGCTAGCCTGCCCTTGGACAACATATTGTTGTTTGCCAATAAATGTGTTAGAAATGATGCTCGCTCTGAAATATGGGGATGAAAGATGTAGTTTTTGCGCCGGTAATCCTCGTAGCTGATCTTGATCTGGAAGTTATTGGGGGTGGCCTGTGACAAGGTGTCAGCAATGAACTGCAAGCAGATGACGAAAGACAGTGCTCACCGCATCGTTCCCTCCCATCGAAAATTACGTGCTGATGAAGCACACGAATCTGCATTATGAGCACACTGCGCACTGCGCAGGCTATCTTGCTATCGAACAGAGTCCACAGCCTCGCGAAAATACACGGGCTTTGAATTTGACCACAGCGGCAATGGTCGCTGAAAATCATATGGGGCGAGCTAAACGTGATCTTTCGATGAAAAGAAATTGTTTGGGTTGTTTACCATGACTTCACGGCAGATATGACCCCATGCCCAGTGGCGCGGGAAACGGGGGGGCTAGGGGGGGCTGAGCCCCTCCAACTTTTCGGCTGGGGGGGCTCGTAATGTATTTGAGCCCCCCCCCCCCCCCCAGCTGGAGGAATCGAAATCGGAAATCTACCAACACAATTTCATAGATTCATACATAGGCGCGAGAAAGTAATCTTGGGCGCGGGAACCGGGGGAGAGGGCAGTGGGGGAAGCTCGCCCTCACAACTCTGGGGCCGTGGGGGCGGTGCCTCACATCTTTTTATGAGGCCAGGAACCGTTGGGGCAGCTTGTCCTCCCCAAATTAGGGGTTGTGAGTCACAAAGAAAGAAAGCATGTAAGTGAAAAACTCTACCTATTTTACTGACTCGGCAACTCATTTGGCAGCTTAAAACCTTTATTCCAGGTTGCCAAAACGGTAGTTTCTTCACTCAGCTGAGACGGAATACCTATCTCACTTTTTTGCAAATATTTTCTTCTTTTTTTTTCGTTGAAAAGGCCAAGGTCTGAAAAATAAGTGGCCTAAAACCGATGAGAAAACTAGATTTGGGGGTACCCTAGGTTGATCTCTATGATGGTTCAGCCCCCCCAGTCTGGAAGAAGTTCCCGCGCCACTGCCCATGCCAACGATATATCCATCGAGATGTGTCTAGGCGACGCCTTGTGGTCGATAAGCCTTTCACGTTGGTTTGTTGGTGACCTGTAGCGCAGACTCAGGACACCCTCAGCCCTCGGTCACCTCATCCCACGCAGTCATTTTTTACCCGCATTGTGTGTGTATGAGCATTCCTCGGTGACGGTTACCGATCAGTCATTGAAACAGGTGGCTTGTGGCAGCGGAGCATGTTCGGTAGCTGGCGGGCAAAAATGGAGCGGTACGTGTGATTTGTGAGGTCACTGCGGGGCGAAGTCCTAGAATCGATCACAGACCTGCCTATTTCCAATCGACAGTTACTCTGGGAGTTGTTGGAGCACAAATTTCGGCGACTTACGGTGCGGTTTTAATCTTTATTTCAAATTGCGAATACATCTCACGATAGTTTCATTGACTGAGAACTAGTCCCTCGTGGAGACTAAGAGAACGTTTCTGGCAGGCTGTTTAGTGTTTATGGCTTATGGACTAGTATGGCGGTTAAATCACTTTCTTGCTTCCGTTCCCCCGGCTGAAAGCATTTTGAATAGAGCGGGCCCACTCGGCAGTGGCACCTCTACCGGCTGGCCATCGACATTGTAGTACTCGTATTTGCCACTGAGGGGCACCTCCGACGCGGCGACCGGCGACCAGCGGCGCTTCATGAAGCGGGAGACCATGGACGGATTGACGCAGTCAGGGCTCTCGTTTCCGGCCAGGCAGGCGTCCGCACAGGCGGTGCCCTGGAAGAACCGGCCGTACATGCTCTTGCACTGGCCGCAATTTCTGCAACAAAAGGGACGACTTTCAATCGTTCAGAAATGGATGACACTGAACAATAGGTAGGCCAGGACAAGGAGTATAGGTAGATTTTCATTTTAAATCGATTTGTTTAATCCAAAGGACGTAACCATTCCTTTCCTTGATGTATACCATTTTCTCAGGGCTAAATCGTCATCCCTAAAATAGATCCATTGTCTCGTAGTTAGATAGAAAGGACGTCACCGTGTAAAGCATTCAGATGTCGAGATTGCGTAGTTATTGCCTAATATCGAATTCAAGTATCTCTGACTTAAATCTAAAAACTCACCTTACACAGGAGCCTATGTTTGCGTCAGCCGGCCTGGTCAACAATAGACAGACGAGGACGGAGCAGAGCAGCACGAGAGTGGACGACTGTGGACGGAGGTGGACGGGGCGGTCAGACGAGGGTGGACGACTGTGGACGGAGGTGGACAGCACAGTCAGACGACTGTGGGACACAGCTGTAACAGAGTGGACGACTGTGGACGGAGGCGGACAGAACGGTCAGCAGCAGACAGACGAGAGTGGAACACGTCACCCATTACTATGAAGCTAAAATTTGCGTAAGTAGGTACGTCTTTCCCAAAGTCCTCTCCTACGAAGCGCACATATATATAAGAGCATCATTTTACCTTATTTTACCAGGTCTTTTAATTATAACGATGGTATTGATTTTACCTATTGTTGGCTATTGGTATATATACCTGGCTCATGTTGATGTGTATCCTGTGCTCGGTGGTGGAGCAGCCCAGCCGCAGCGGAAGTGACGGACACAGATGAGGTGCACGGCGCTCACGGGGCCGCTCTCAGCTGCTGTGCACGTGTCGACAGCGACGGAGCACACCTTATATGGAACGTCGGCGGTGACGCCGCGCAGACGCCGTGTCCGGCTCATGCTCATGCTCAGTGCTCATGACACTTCAATGAAGACCAGTGTTCGTTACTGCAATCTATGTTTTACCTATCAAATCACGACGAGTGATTTAATTTCAGCGATAAGCGCTATTAAATTTTCGCATGCAATCCTTAACCCTCGCCGGCCGAGGGGGGGGGGGGCGGGTGCCGCCCCCCCCCCCATAGGGTTTTTTCGCAATAACTCCGGACACGCTGGCGATAGAGAGCTGAAACTTGGCATACCTGACCTTTGATCCAAGCCGCATCTTTTGACACCAACCGCATTTTTGGGTCAGGTCAGGTCACTGACCTATGACGTCATAAGTGAACCTCTGCACGGTCTTCAGATGTCGCAACTTCGCACGCCCTCACTGCCAGAGGAGATGTCACAGGGAAATGAAACTTGCAGGATCTGGTATCCATTATGAGTCTCACAACTTGTATATCTCGGATTTTTCCTAAAGGTCATATGAGGTCAGGTCATTTTCGTGACCTCACCATTATAAGTCAATGGGGAAAAATGAAAACTGCTATTCTGGCGCCGGGAACGATCTCCAACTATCTCAAGCACACAGAATCGTGATTTGATGCACTCCTTGCAAGGTTAGATGCGTCACTTTTGCAATGTTGACCTTCCGTGACGTCATTTATGACGTCATCAAGGTCATATTAGTTTTTCGTCAATAACTCCCGACCAAATTGAGCTAGCGAGTCGAGAAAGCCACCAATGGACTCAGGAAGACCTGTCAAATCGAATGATATGCGACATGACCTCTTTCGACCAACTTCGTGACCTGGGGGTGCTGACCTGACCTTGACCTGAGGTCAACACCCTAAGTTGACCTGACCCGAACAAAAAGTATATCATTCGACGCGCCTGAGCAAGGCGAACACGATGCTGCCAAAATCGCGGCTCTGCGGCCGTTTTTTGCGAAGTTGTTCACCAAAAACTGAACCGTACCCTGGGGCACTTGACCTGACCTCAGAGGTCACCGGTTGACCTAGGACCTTAAAATCGGGTACCAATCTCTGCGTCTCGTAACGGCGCACACGCTCGTTTTTCCGCGACGCGCTAGCTCCACCAGGGGCGAAACGGCGAGGGGGGGGGTCGTACCCGCCCCCCCCCCTCCTCGGCCGGCGCGTATGTAGAAAACCAATAGGTCCGGCGAGGGTTAAGTGGAAGGATATGAAATTGACTGCCACTGGTAAAAGACGCCAAAGAACCATGATTTGTGTTTTGTGCAGCCTGCGGCTCTTCACTGTCTTCAGGCATTTAAGAGTTGACTTGGTCCGTCCGAGTGCGGTAACTTCTTTGTAGACAAGATCGTCGTAACTTTTTTTGTAGGCACGACCTGTGGACTCAACCTGTCGCACTTCCCTATTTCAAGGCATCTGTAACTCTGTCATTCCGGCCAAAATGTGTACCTAATATTGGTGTTGGCAATAGCGTATCCATCCGAGGACGTCAGAACGTTGACTCGAGCCAGACGTTGAGCTCGGGCCGATTATTGAGGACGCCAAGGGCTACCTAACTGAAATGCATAAAAGCTGTTTGATTGAATAGCAGTTTAATACCTACGTTTAAACGTCAACCAGTGCTGTCAAGTTATATTCTTGGAACTTACCAGCTTAGACCGAAATTTGTAGAAACTGTCCATGATGTATCGCATCCGTGTCAAACCTTAGAAAAAGGAAAAGTCCTACCACTCTCAGGTCAGTCAGTCATTGGTCCCGCTTTTCTTTCAGCGCAGGAGTGTAAAAGAACGTTTCAAACCAGTCACTTGAAAATACCTATGTATACATATCTACTTCGAGGCGATGATTCCTATTCATTACCGTCTTGCAGATAATTTTCTTCTTTCTTATTATCATGCATTATGATAGGAGGAATGGTACATTTTTGTACCTACCTATTCTTCCTATAGGAATCCTTATACGGTGTTCCTCGGCGGCCTCGTTTGTACGACTTTTGTACGTCAGTCCGATGGGGCCTTGGTCCGCCGACTTTGAAAAGGTATTATAGCTTCGAGATCAGCGAGATTCGGCACTTTGCTGTCTCCTAACACTAAGTAGTTACCTATCTATTCATAAAATGACTGCGTTTGCTGAGTAAATGTAGAATAAGTATGAAGTAAAGGCATTAGTCTGCCACACGACCATGCGCACTAGCGCCTCCCTATTCATACCTTTCTATTATCCCCTTTAGGCTTTACAAAATGAATATTGACCAAGTCGGTCTTCAAAACGACGATACTCTATACACTTATCCAATTTCTTG